GTGAATAGGTAAGTGAAAATTGAGCATGGAATTTGTACGAATAATTGCTTTCCGTCCAACCGACGATCACAATTGTCATTGTAGTCACAACCTATCGTTTTGTTTCCACGCAGGTCACTGCCATATCTCCTGTCTCACCGAGAACGACTGTCTCAGCTGGCTATACGATCCTGATGGACAGAGCTGCACCCAGCTGAATGTGCGTGGAAACAGGAACAGCCAGAGGCCGGCGGCGCTGGCGAGCCGCGTCCGGTATCGGGAGGCATTAGGTAAGGACGGAACTGGGTGAATATATCGACAGACGTTCGGTAAGGGAGGGGTATGAACAAAGACCGGGAGGCACTCGGTAAGAAAGAATAGAGAGATAAGACAGCTGTTGGGAGACGCTCGATAAGATAGGGGCTGAACGGCTACCGGATTTTTGTTTGTTTGTTTTGTTTTGTTGGGTTAGGCCCTTTCGGTCTGACAAAACCACTGCAGAGCCGGAAGGATGATAGGAATTAGGGGGAGACATTGGTCTGGGCAGACACCCTAGAGAGTCGCCGGGGCTGAGCCCGTCCAAATGGACAGGCCGACCAGCCCCCAAGCACTCTCTGCACCCGGCTACGGGGTGCGCTCCCTCGGGAGCTGCGGTGCCGCTCCAAGGGAGCAGCCCGCATGAGATAAAGGTGCCTGTCCAGCCCGGAGTGGGGTTGCGGCGTGGAGGAGGAGGATTTCTGTATTCTGAGGATAGAAGCACGGAAAGGTGGCTACCGGAAGGCATTCGTGGACCGTGGTAAGAGAGAGAGAGTTGAGGGACTATGACAGCTAAACGCAGGCGTTAGCTAAGACTGGGGCTGTGTGTTCCTCTACATTGTATTGCTTTAGGCATCTGCAAATAAACAATCGGTAAGGAAAAAAGACTGACCAGTTACCGTTACAATTGAGGGCAATCGGTAAGAGAGGGTCTGAACAAATGCCGGTACGGAATTCGGTAGCTATGATCAGACTTTCTGTAACCTGTTCTGAGATCCTACAACTTAGTTTCGACGTGACGTACGGCGTACAGCACAAGGTATAGCGACGCGGTGGGCCTAAAAAGCTAGCCAGCTTCGTTTTGTTTATTATCCTAGCATTGAGAATATGTTTTCCAATGTTAAGGAATCTGTTTTTTTTTCGTGAGTGCCGAGAAGTGAGCGACCGACCTTTGTGGCGGGGTGGGCCCGCCGCTCCCCGCCGCTGTATAGGACGGTGTGTGGCCAACAGCATTTCACGCATGACCTGAATTTCAGTGGACTTGGTGACTTGCCGACCGGCATTGGTAAGATTCAGCCCAGGGCCCAATCTTACCAGTGCCGTGAATAGGATTCGGTAGCACTGGCCGGAGTTACCGGCAATAATATGAAATGTATTCTTTTTATGTAGTATGTACCTACATCCATCTAATCTCGTCCAATGTCTTTATTGGTGTCGATGATTATGAATGTTGCCTTAATGAATGAATGAATAAATGTTGAATGCTCATTAACGTTACCAAATGCCGTAAATGCGCATTCACGGCGTTTGGTGAGATTGGACCCTGGTCTGGCCCGACCTGCCGTACATATGTACTTACAAAGGCAAAACCGTTTACGTTTGGGTGACCTCTGGCCTGAGGTAATGACCGCTGACCCTAGGTAATCGTTTTTACCGTTGCACGGCAGCGGCCTGTTGAGTGTTGGACTTGTTGCCGGAAATTTAGGTGTGACCTGGCTGGGGATTAGGTGGAGCGTGGTGACTGAGTGGCGTGGCGCGGCTGCCCGGTGATGGCTGTAATACGATAAATGTTTGCTTTCTTGTATGAGTGTGGATGAATGCCCGTCTTCACTACTTTTTTATCTATTAGTTACACTGAGCAATGCTAGCCTCGTTTGTTGTGGAAAGCTTTAAGAACGTTAACCCGCGCCCCGTTCGGCCCCCCCCCCTTAGATCTCGGAAAGTTACCGGCCGATTTTCAAAATTCAAACGGCGTTCGATAGCCCCACCCGGGAACTACCTTGTGACCAAATTTCATTGACCTAGGTCAAACCGATCACGTCACAGGTCAGGTCAAAGGTCAGATTTTCACCGTTCACAGGCATTTCAAGAAATGTGTTGTGAAATCGAGTAAATTGGTAATTTATTGAAAACCATCGATGGTACATTGTTCGTCAAACACATACTTTGCTATCTGAGGTCACTGATACCAGGTCAGGTTACAGCGAGGTCAGGTCACCGGGGGTCACAATATGAAAGTGTCGTGTGATGCATGTTGTATGGTCCATTTTACATGACAAATGCGATTATGTGGGTTAGGCAGCCTTTGGGGCCAGCCTATGTCACGTTTTGGTGAAGGTCAGGTCAAGGTCAGGTCAAATTAGGTCAAATTTCAAAGTTGATATTTTTGCATAAAATGGGTATCAATTCGATGCAGCTCGTCACGAGGAGTCTAATGGTGGTCTTTGTTTTGCTCTACGAGGTCTAGAATTGCCAAAAATTGAGTTTGAAAATTTGACGTCATCATTTTTGAACAGTTTTTTCGCTATAACTTGGCCAAAAAACGAGGTATCGATCTGAAATTTAGTATGTAGATAGAAGACGGTAGGTACTATCACATATATTCCGTTTTTTTCGAAACTCAAAAATTTTTTTGGATTTTTTGGCTAATATATAAAAAAATGCTTTTTTGATTTTTGGGGGTCAAAACTCAAAAATTTTAAAAATCCGAGATCGCGGTTTTGTAGCCCTGTCAATTTTACACCTTTTATGCCTTGATCATTTTTCTGTATCTTCAAAGCTGTAGGCCTGACAGGTCTTCTCGCGAAGGTCTTTTTTCGGTCGAAAATGACAGAACATGACGTCACTCTGACGTCATTTGTGGCCAACCTATCATAGCCTCTGGAAATTTTTTTGGTCACAATGTGTAAAATTGATGCCCAAAGGGGCCCTGAAAGTTTGGTGGCGATATCTCCAGCCGTTTAGGAGATATCGACCGAAAAAGACAGGGGGCCGTTTCGGCCCCCCCCCCTACGGGGCGCGGGCTAGCTAGAACTATCATACACAGTACGATGGTCGGTAAAAAGCTAGCGAGCTTTCACTGGACGCTCGGCAAGTGTGGAGCAGATTAGCACTCGTCATGCACTCGATTACTCACGCAGGACACACTATTCCTCCATACTGCTTATCGCTGTCTGTCCGTATTTACCATAGATGTGCTTTTTATAATGTGACACTTAGTCAAATCAATAGGATGCACGCTATGAACATAATCGATGTGTTTACTCCGGTTTCGATTATTATTTCTTGAACGTTTGTCTCGAAATTGAACACTAAATAGTGTCTGTGCGTTTCAGCGTACCTGGGCGACTGGTGTGCCGATGACCGCGAGTGCAGCTTTCTGACCTCGGGGGTGGCCACGTGCCAGTCAAACACCTGCTCCTGTCCCGAGGGACTGGCGCCGACCAGTAAATCAGAGTGTGGTAAGGAGAGAGGGAGGGAGGGGAGGAGAAGAGGAGCGATAAAGCGATACGAGAAGAAGAGATAGCGAGGGGGTGCATCTACTTTTTTAATTCCAAAGAATGTTATACCAATCTTATTAAATGAACGATTTCAGAAGATCGAATGAAGAGATGATACGCAGGGTTGCTGATGCAGAAATGTAAATGCACATCAAAAGCTTCAACGAACTAACGAACTTTGTGGAGAAAGTCCATTTTCAACCATTTTATAGCTCAACAGACACTATAGAAAATAACACCAAGATGTTTGCACGACTGACGACATGTGCTTGGTACCTATACATGTTTAGAATGATACTTATTTTCATCAACTTCTAAAACAACACTTTCAGGAACAAATTCTTCAACCACTGAAACGGCCATATCCACCACAAAGTCGGAATCGTCATCACAACAAACGACATCATCAACCACTGCTGAGAGGTCATCGACCACTTCTGATAGGTCATCGACCACCCCCGCGGCGAAGTCCAGCCAGACGAGTAAGTGTGGTACAAACTTACCCTGAACTGCTGAGGCATATGGCGTGGATGAGATAATATTATTATCTCATGTGTTATCTCATCCATGGCATATAGGTATAAATTGTGGTTTGCCCTTATTATAGGCTGGGGTGTAAATCGGCAAAGCGGTGTCGGCGGAACGAATGCCCTTCGATCAATATATGGGCCGTTTAAACGGTCAAAATCGCTAATTGACCGATATTGAAACGACTAGGAACACAATTTAGGTGCTGTGGATAACTTCCCTATTTCCTGTAATTTATTGACACTATGCCTCTCCAATTCCATCCTCCAACAAATGCGCCATGGATCCTTTTCTCTCTCTCTCTCTCTCTCTCTCTCTCTCTCTCTCTCTCTCTCTCTCTCTCTCTCTCTCTCTCTCTCTCTCTCTCTCTCTCTCTCTCTCTCTCTCTCTCCTCTCTCTCTCTCCTCTCTCTTTCTCTCTCTCTCTCTGTCTCTCTGTCTCTGTCTCTGTCTCTGTCTCTGTCTGTCTCTCTCTCTCTCTCCTCTCTCTCTCTCTCCTCTCTCTTTCTCTCTCTCTCTCTCTCTCTCTCTCTCTCTCTCTCTCTCTCTCTCTCTCTCTGTCTGTCTGTCTGTCTGTCTGTCTGTCTGTCTGTCTGTCTGTCTGTCTGTCTGTCTGTCTGTCTGTCTGTCTGTCTGTCTGTCTGTCTGTCTGTCTGTCTGTCTGTCTGTCTGTCTGTCTGTCTCTCTCTCTCTCTCTCTCTCTCTCTCTCTCTCTCTCTCTCTCTCTCTCTCTCTCTCTCTGTCTCTCTCTCTCTCTCTGTCTCTCTCTCTCTCTCTCTCTCTCTCTCTCTCTGTCTCTCTCTCTGTCTCTGTCTCTGTCTCTGTCTCTGTCTCTGTCTCTCTGTCTCTCTCTCTCTCTCTCTCTCTCTCTCTCTCTCTCTCTCTCTCTCTCTCTCTCTCTCTCTCTCTCTCTCTCAACAGCCGCTGAAACGTCATCTTCGGTGAGTTCGTCCACAACCACCGAACGAAAGCAACTGTTTACAACTCGACAAACATCTTCAACGCAACAATCGACGTCAGCAACGTCTTCTGCGACTAAGTCACCAGCAACGACATCATCCACTATCAGGACTCCATCAACGTCTAGTGCTACTAAGTCACCATCCACGACATCATCCACTATCAGGACTCCATCTACAACTACGTCTACCGCTACTAAGTCAGCAACGTCGACCACAACGTCACCGGCTGCTAGGGCGCCAGCCTCTACCACAACGACAACTGCTGCCAAGATGACATCTTCGACCACAACGTCATCTACCACTAAGACAACATCCAAGACCACGTCCGCTGCTACTAAGGCACCCACCAAGACCACAACAAAGCCCAGCAAGACGGGTAAGTCAGCGCTTTTGCTCCGCACGTTTCATAACCGGGCTAGGTGTTAGGTATAGTTCGAGTATGAAATATGAGAGAGGGTAGGTAGTGAGTGCCAGTAAAGGTAACAGATGTAAAATAGAAAATAAGAGTAAATGTGAGCAAAACAACTACCCGCAGTGCGTTGTGGTTTGAGCAAAATCATCAACCGATATATTGAGGCATAGACCTCTGTACATAGGTACCTATACCCCGGTCTATGAATGAGCGATTGTGGAGACTGTTTTCTGATGACGCCGTCCTTTTTTCAGTCGTATGTTCAGAAGGAGTTGAGTTTATGATCGACGAAACCGACTGCACTAAGTACTACCAATGTTCCAACGGCAAGCCCGTGTCCATGTCTTGCTCGTCGCCTCTCGTGTGGAATGACCAAATCAATAGCTGCGACTACATCTCCGATGTCCCGAGATGCCGCTGAAGCCGGGAGCTGGAGAGAAGAGGGCACGCGTCAAAAGACCTGTGTATTTTATTTGCGGTTGTTGCGCTACAAACGCTGAACTAAATACGCACGCCTCTGGCAAGGTTGGGTGACATATCAGTGTTAGTGTTGGTGTGTTATTTCATTTGCGCTTTAATTCCAAAAATCGGCGTGTGCACATTTTTGACCGTACGAAAGGAAAAGAAACTTGTAATTTTGCCTCCGTTTTAACGTTCAACGCGTAAAAGCCTGGATGCTTAATGTTTCACCTTTGTTGTGTAAATGTATCTTGTTCGGCGCCAAATAAATCCTGTTAAAATATTACATGGTCACCAACCTGTGGTCGTCCTGCAGCGCACAGCTGCCGTCTTGCTGCGTCGAGGAGGTCGACAGTGCAGCTAGAGCGGTCTTAGCAATCGTGGGAGACATGCGAAGTTTGATGGCGTCTCAGTAAACCGTACCTACATCTAATTCATTGAGTGAAGACATCAATAAAAGGGTACAAGACATACTAAAACATTACAGCGTAATAACCTACAACAGGTCTTTATGCCAAATTGAATTATCATTTAAAATCAATACACTTCTGTAGGATTGGGTGTCACGTCGTTTCAACTGTCTACCTTCAATTCAATTGTTCAATAACTACCTGTCAATCAGCTCGCCTAAGGTAACGTTTTTATGTGTAGTGATATGGAATCTAGCCAATGGAATCTATTCACAAAATATACGCCACTGAGCTGTTCCTTGCTCCGATACCACTGTATCACAAATGTTTCTCAAGTAGGTATACATAATATTTATTACAGGCCATAAGACGTAGCACCGGACCAGGCGCGCCAAACGGACACTAAACTGCACTGTTCAGCGTTAAACAAATAAAACACCCTCGCCAGTAATTCAACTTTGGCACCGCTGCCGAAACGTACACACGCGACTCGCGAGCGCAGACACACACACGTTCATACAAACACGCAGACACGGTCGCGGTTGAACCCTCCCACAAACACACATACATAGAGAGTTGAGCCAGTAACAAGGTATGCCCGTTGGCACAGCGGAGTCCCTTGCAAGATGTGAACCCAACTGACGGTCCAGCCCAGCCGCCTTAGGCAGGCGGCTCACAGTGGTCCTACACAGACCCAGACCTCTGGCAAACAAGACCACCAGACCCGACCACGAGACCAGACCGACCGCAGGCAGACCAAGGAAGAAACAGCAGCACCACAGTAATATTTGACACCGCTTCAAGCGTCGCCCGAATCGGGTGTATCGGTGGCGTTATATAAGATCTCTCGCACATAATCCTGATTTAACAAACAGCACTGGTAAAGCTCACAACCATGGTTCGGAGTTCGTCTGGACGAGAGCGAAGCGTTGTTACAGGCACAAAGCGGACGATAGAGCCGAAACCAGCGCGGGGTACATCGACTTCCAGCAGTAGTTGACAGACTGTATTTAATACAAACACCCCCGCGGCAGACTGACGTGATTTAAAACATAGCCTCTCCGCAATGCAGAGCGATCGTTCGATCGAGCATTTCGTTCAAAGCCCCGTACCATAACGGCCGAAATTCGGCAGCAGGTCTTACTGTTCCCACCACGTCCGTCGCACGACAGCACACAGACGCGTCTTAGATAGAGAAGGCACAACGCAACCCCGCTACGTAAAATTCGCATCTACACACAGCCTTAGTAGTACCTTGCCACGCGCTCCGATAAACCTTCCAAGCCTGCGCTCAATGTAAAACAGTGCTTAAAGCCGCGACTGAACCCCCAGCTCGACCCCAAACGCTGCGCTGCACGCGCAGCATGTAGTTGTGTGTGCACATCGAAACAATACGCAGCCAGAAGCGCAGCCGCCAATTGGCACAAACACACTGGAATGCAGGACCGACCCCTCGTGTACGTTGATAGACCGTAGGTAGATACGATAAATAGGTCCCCGTTGTGCCTCATTTACAACAAAAACACACGATAGGCATACACTCCCCGTTCAATGCTATGCGGGTCTCCACAAAGCCCTACACGACCCCTCCCCGTACGGAGCTGGTTGTTACGTATATAGGTCGTGGTTTGTGCTTGTCACGGCTTACCGGCTGCTTTGAGGAAAGCTAACAGGCGAGTCCAAACCAGCCTCGAGCATCAGTCGAGTCCTGTACTGGCCGAGTAGTGGCTATCAAGAGACGACCGATCCCGGCTGGTAGTCCTCACAAGACACCGTACCGAGCAGGTATAATTCATTAGCCACTTCCGACGCACGTTGACTTCGCTCGCTCACTGCAGATCTAACCCTCAGAGTAGCCCACTCGCCTCGTTTGGCGACGTACCAAAACTGAGAGACGTCTGCCGGTTCAGTCGTACACTACGCAGACTCATCACCGCAGCCTTCACGTCGGAGCGTTTCTCGAAGAAAGCCACTAGCATTGGCTCTGTAACCACTGATGCAACAAACTGCTCGAGCGAGACGGCCCAGTCGGCGTCGGTGGGAGCCTCCGGAGGCTCGGTGGCCTCCTCCTGGTCCTCCAGGACGGAGTTGGGAGGAGGAGGACGGTCGGAGGAGTCCTCCGACCGGCGCTCGTCGCCTGTCGACTCCGACAGCGCCTCCGAGAGTAGTGACATGTCTGTAACGCCGGCCACGGGCACAGCCTGGCGGCGAACGGTAACACACGGTCACAACAGTGTCTCGGCGGCCCTATAGATCGGTTCGATGATAGACCGCTACCTAATTGTTTACTGGAATTTAGGTGCAGAGCTCTGCACACTTCGACACGATACATGTTTCAGCTCACTTCTCATCTTCTGTATGATACAATACTAGATTAGAATACCTTTCAGCAAGACAGCAGTACTGACTTGGTAGAAAAAGTGAGCGACAACAGAATACGAGCGATATCATGAGTCAATACAAGTATATGGGTGCAGCAGATGCCACTATAGGTTTGTGGGTTAGACTCTCACCTCTGGCGTCGACTCTGGTCGGGCCGCCGCACCGCCACTAACAGTGCTCGCAGTGGCAGCACCGGTGGTAGCGTCAGTGTCGGCCGCTGAGACGCCTGAAGCGGAGTCGGCGGAGGCGGCGGCAGCGGCGATTGATGACGCCGACCGCTCCCGCTGGAACTTCTTACCGACCTCCCCTATCTGCAGCAGCAGCGTACCTTCAAAAGGAAAGGCCATTTCAAATGGGGTTTTGTTTCAGTGTTTTGCAAAGAAAATTAAGTTGATCGGTAGCAGATTTCGGTACGCCGGAAATATGCGTACAAAAATATTCAATATTCATGTTTATATATTGCTGAAACTGTACATACGCGAACTTCCAAACGTGGTTACGCCAAAATCACTTGTCAGTTGTGTTACCGTCAAAATCAACATAAATTTATAAACGACAGTCCTTAAAATCTACAACATAGTGCTTTTGGTTTTGATAGTAAGCCAAAGAGTAAGTCGAGCACTCGTATGTATACTCCCTCAAAAATACTCAAGGCAACATGATAAATGCACATCAGCTACGCCACAACACTTCCTCGGTACATTAATGAAGCACTGCCATGACATTTGAAAATGGCGTCGAAATGGTCTCCCATTTATTTCAGCCTGCAAATAAGTGTCAGACAACACTGAAGAGACTGGGACGGCGATACCTGATCGTAAACAAGCCATAACTTATACAGAGTTGACATTCAAGACTACCTGCCGCTATCATACTCTTCCTGCACCCAAGGCCGAGGTAATGTATTCACAAGGACCTAGCGGGCATGGGGAGGGCTGGAAGCGATTTAGGGTTAATGATAGCGCGAAGCAAGGTGGCTTCCTCGCACACAGGACTCATGCTAGTTATTTGGACTGACAGGGAAGCCATTACAACACGCTGACCGCCCTAACAGTGACACCCATGGCCAGGACAGTAATGACACGTCCGTGACAGCACCCAATGACTGGTGATGACAGTGATGCCGACAGTGTGAAAACGACTACATACGCCAGTAAATCCACTCACCAACATGCGCTATGGCGTGGAATATCTCCGGCTGAGACTGCTCCTCGCTGAACATGTCGTACAGGGTGCGCCACATGTAGATGAATTGCTTCTGGTTCATCAGCGGCACCCGGGGCCCCTCCTCCGTACCGGCACCGCTGACTCCTGGGGAATGGGGAGCAATATGAGACAGTGATGACCACGAAATCAGCCAAATGAAGCAGTGCAGTTCGAGTCAGTGATACCAAAGCTGGCCTGAATGGTGTCAATGGTTTCATCGCATATTTCTTGTTTGTTTCTTGTGTGCGGCCTTATCTATTCGGGTTCGACACTTTTTTCACAGTTTTCGGAACACAGTTTTCACAGTTTCACGGAAACACAGTTTTGCGGAGCATCTTTAGCGTGTTTTGAGGAGTTTTCGCATTACATTTCCATCCATCCTGGCATGCGTTTGTGGATAAATTTATAAATATACTAAAATAAACACAGAGCTCTTCTGCAATAAACGCCAAAATCCACCGATGTTTTTGACCAAAGCTAAGGTTTGACTAAACATACAGGAGCATTTACGGCGTACAGTTGAAGCCTAAAGAGCAGACGTATAAATCAACAAAATAAATGATCCCTTTGGACTCTAAAGCTATGTAATGAACTGTAATTAACAGAGGAAATAACATATTCAAAGATATGACTGTTGCCTTGGCCATGCCACAATTTGGAGTCCAGTGCAGTGCGGTTAAAGGCAAAGGCCATTGCACGACGTACGATCCACTAATAGCAGCGAAAAATGGACCACAGTGTGCTGCTCCGTTACAGTATAAACAAACGCTAGGTAACAGTATGATTTAAGGCCATTTGTACTGAATATTTAATGGGTTTCCTGCAACTACGTCCGAGGGAAAATGTATGTATTCAAATGTATTTTACTGAAATCACACGTTTCCTGCAACCAAGTCCGAAGAGGTGGCACTTTTTCACCTCAGCGGGCGTACCAAGTAATATTGGGTGTGTGGGGAGGGTTTCATATGCCTACCTTTGAATGAGTCTTTGCATTGCTTCTACTAAGCCGGTCTCATGAGTCATGATGCATCATGATACCAGCTCCACGAACCTTGAATGCCGGCGATTCCGTTCCGTCTCGGCCTATAAATCTAACCCTCTCATTCTGTATCGGGCCTTTGATCTCCGTCTCTTGCCTCCCTCCGCCGTCTTGTGCCCACCACAAGACGGGTAGCCAACTCCGTTCGTTACCAGTCATTCTCCGTCCCATCGCTTCCCATCGTCCCATGCCTTCGTGCCTCCCCTATCCCGTCCCTCGTCCCATGTCTCCCTTCCCATCCAGCCTCTTGTCTCAAGTCTCCCTTCCTTTGCCTTTCCTTATCCCATCCCTCTTCCTTTTCCCTCTCTCTCTCTCTCTCTCTCTCTCTCTCTCTCTCTCTCTCTCTCTCTCTCTCTCTCTCCTTTCCCCTGCTCACCAGAGGTAAAGCTGGTGCCACTGACGGTTCGAGACCGGTGTCCGTCTGCCAGCAGTAGCTCTCGCAGCTCCGACAGGCTCAGAGAGGCCGGCTCCGGTGCGCTCAGAGCGTCAAAGTACTCGCACGCCTCCGAGGCTACCTCAGTGTTGTCTGCAGGGAATGAATGTAGAAGGACGTTATTTCAATAATACGGTGTTGGAGCGAAAACTGTCATACTCGTAGAAGTATGACAGTTAAAGCGAAAACCGAGGAAGAACTGTGCAGCTGACTAAAGTAACTCTGTGATAATGAATGATAATGATGTAATGAATGAATGACGGTAAAGTAACCCTGCCCTGCGCAGCTCCCTGGTCCTCTCGCCAGCGCCTCACCGGAGAGGGGCGAGTCCATCTCGAACTGGTCGAGCAGCGGCGGCAGGTGGAGACAGTAGAAGAGCCGCAGTCGGGTGGGCAGGTCGCTGCGGGTCAGCAGACCCAGTAGCCAGGAGAGCTGCCGCAGGTCCAGCTGACCCTCGCCGCTGCTGTCCATCAGCTGCAGGCGCGGGGGGAGAGGTTGGCACACGAGCGTACACATACTGATACAGAACGCATAGGTATGCAGTCCCATACAGGACAACATAAAGACCCCAGCAGCAGACCCACACACAAGGCAATAATGCATGACACATACAATTATAAGTCCCAGATACACAGATAGAAGCAGACAGACGATTGTGTCGCACTGACATTGCCAATAAAATGGTGGTGAATTTGGCATAGACACGTGCGGGCTTTCCTGCCCCTGTCGGTGTCGATCCTTATGAAGGAATGTGTACCTGGACTTACAGGGTGTCCCATAAGTTCGTTCTCACCTTATATTTGCATGTAAAACAGAGTACATTGCGTTTTGATATGTTTATAACCCCTCAATGTGCTCCCCATTTCATAGGCAAACACATGAATACATGCTGCGACATGCCAACCGGCATGCTTGGCAGCATAGCAGGCTTGAAGTTAGCCCAGACTGACTTGGCATGCGCCGTGAGCTCCTCAATGCTGGAACACCGCTTCGCTTCGATGAGCCTCGATTTCAATATTCCCAACACATTTTTATGAAATTGGGATCCGATGAGTTGGCTGGGATGTGATCTTACCACACACGCCTATCACAGTCTCCTGGCACTGCTTCTAAACTTTGCTTGACCTGTGCACTGATGCACTGTCTTGCTTGAAGATGGGCCTACGACCTCCCGGATGCCATTTTCTCCTAAAAAAATGTGGTCATACTTGCGGTTCAAGTTAAGCTAGAAAGCTGAAACTCCTACTAGATCTTCTTGGAGAAGCATTCTGCGTCCAAGACTGTTTCTGGAGTATCAATCGCAACGTGATCAGTGTCTGGACGCATATTACCCCACATTACCGTGACCCTGGCCTTTTGCATAGGAATAAAGCGGGATGACATAAAAGCTTTTTCCGTCGCCCATATGGGACCGTTTTGGGGTTTGGACCGGTGTTTTATCTCGAGCACGGACTAGGTAGCCCAGATGACCACATTGATGTCATCGGCCCTCCAGTTTTTTTAGCCTCAGGCATAACGAAACGCATGTTTGGCCATTTTAAGACGTTTTTGACTGTTTTGAGCCCTCCGGTAAGTAGAGCTTAAGTCACCTTGAGTTAGGTACCCCGAAATGATACTCTTAGACAGCTGGCAATGCATCCTGAAAAGCCTGTTTACCAACTTTCTAACGCTAAGACCTTTTTGACGGCCATTTTGGCGCCACACAGTTTTGGCCACATGGCTCACTCGTGAAAGCTGACAAAAAAGAGCATAAACTTGCAGCGATTGACTCCCGACAAATCATCGGCGTCACTTGTTGACTGTGCGTCCAGTTAGCGACAGACATTGGCTACATACTGGATGGCCTCAATCACCCTCAACCGTCGTGAATGGCCCAGTGCGGACTAAATACCGAGACGTTCCCGTATCGGAGACCTCTATGTTGCGGCGTAAGCGGTCTCCACAGGAAGTGAACTCTCTGGCAAAAATATTTTATCTAGACGAATTAGTTACCGTGGAGCACATTCACAGTTGCCATGGCAACCCCAAAAGCTCAGTTACAAAATAAATTAAGCGTGGCTTTAAATAAGAGAGCCTCTAAAAGAAAAATTTAGGTGAGAAGGAACTTATGGGACACCCTGTAGTACAATGACAGAGTCAGACTCGGAATCAGTAATTACGAGCGAGCGAGCGCAGCGAGCGAAGCGAAGTCTTTTCTATATAACGGAAAAAATCTCAGTATGAGCGGCCCGGCCCGGCCCGGTCCGGCCTGTAACGCTTTTGAGAGGCTTATATCTCAGCAACCGCTGGACCGATTGGCCTGCGGTCTTTTTTGCTGGGTAGCTCCATCCCTTCTACCCCGTAATTGACTACTTTTGATCCATCTCAGTGACCGTCGTGGCACGTGCCACGTGAAAAGTCAAGGGTGTTCAAGCACTTTTGCAAAAATAGTGATTTTGAGAGGCCCATATCTCAGCAGCGGCTTGAGCGATTGTCTTGCTTTTTATAGGGTAGCCGCATCCCTTCTACCAAAGGTCGGATACTCTTGATCTATGTGAGTGACCCCCACTGCACGTGCAAAATACAAAAAGAAGAGGTGCCAAATTTGTTCCCATTTCAGTAACTCGGTAATTACTGGGGCGATTTCGCTGAAACTTGGCATACAGGTAGGCACCCACCAGGCAATGCATTCCCATGTGTTGCGGTTAGGGTGCTACCGCACGTGCGCACGTGCAGGGGGCGCTTCCAGATCTCGAGAACGGCTGGGCCGATTGCGCTCAAATTTGGTACACGGTTGGGGACCGGTTAGTAGGGTGCCGTGCAAAAGTCATTTTGGACCCCGTTTGCACGTGCGCACGTGCAGAATGCCGCTTCCAGATCTCAGGAACGGCTGGGCCGATTGCGTTCAAATTTGGCACACCGCTAGCGACCGGTTAGAAGGGTGCTTTGCACAAGTCCGTTGGAAGTACCCTCTCGCCCTTCTGCACGTGCAGGGCTCACTATCTCGCTCGCTCGTTCTTCGCCCAAAAGGCGTTTTACTGGTATAATATAACACACGTCACTGAATAAATCAACAAACGAACACTTGATGATAAAGTTAGGGCAACAGAACACTGCTACAAATGACTATAAAAGGAAAGTTGCTGATACAAAGACCAATCACCAAAGCATATTGATCTTTAAAGTTTTAAAGGTAGTGTGCCACCTTTGAAAGATTTCCCATTTTATTTTTCCTAGGATAAGAAGCTTCTGTTTTTACTTAATATCGCAAAGAAAATCAAAAATGGGCCTGGAATAGTGCCTTTTTCGCCTAAAAGTTTATCGGTTTTTCGATATGTATAACAACTGTAGTGGGCTGACCCGCAAACAGGCGTCGGCAACAATCGCGAATGCGGCGCACATGTGACAATAAGCAAAGGTCATTATAGAGTTACGACGTACGGGAATGAGTTATCAGCTGTCTAATCGTAGACAACACAATGTCGAGCCTTAAACTGTAAGCCTGTATTGGTATTGTTTCTTTTATTTGGCTGTCGAACATTATTTATGGTTTGAAATATGATTTTATGTAAAATAATTGATATGAAAAAGCCGTCTCTTAAGTTATGACCCCATTTCTTCACACGCAAGTGGCAGAAATGACAATGATCAGCTGACGCATTTTTCTTGGCCGAAGTCAGAGCGCACGGCCCGACGCACCACCACCGCACCACAAAGTATGAGCAGAAGCCGCTCCCAAAGCCAGGGCCCCGGTAACGTGAGGTAGCCGAGTCGGGGCAGCGTGCGCTGACCCAAGCCGGGGCCGCAGCTTTGGGCGCGGTCTACCGCATCCCCGAGGGCAGCCCCGGGCTATCACATGACACCGGGAGGACGCGCGGCCCCGGCTTGGGTCAGCGCACGCTGCCCCGACTCGGCTACCTCACGTTACCGGGGCCCTGGCTTTGGGCGCGGTCTACCGCACCACCTAACAGGCGTGTTCGAAACCGCAGGAGATGATGATGAACGGGTTTATCGAAACTTGATTGGATGAGCATATCGGTAATAGCGATTTCAGTGTGTGCATTTATTGTTCATAGTGGTGTGAAATGTGGTTGGGGTACGACCGACAACCCGTCGGGGCGAATTTCGCACTGGGGTACTCAAAATTTGAAGAATTTAAGACGTTTCCATGAGTTTTGAAGGTATGGATAAGTTCTAAAAATCCTGTTCTCCTTATCTGGGCCATTAACTCCATACGGTCCAGGAAAGCTGGCACACAACCTTTAACCCTACATTTCGGCCAACGGAACATAATGTATGCATGGAAATAACAAAATACCGTAACAGTGCACAATACATAATTGCGTTGGTTGGTTGGTTGCACAAAGTGGCTCGAGTTGCAATATGCGATTGTAGTCTGTGGTTCAGTGCCTTTGATTCCATCAAGATACCCAATCATAAAGTACCTAAACTGAAAGCTGTTGGTCATTCCACATCGATGAAGTGCGTGCCAAATGAGGTCTATTTCATAAAATCCGCGCACCACTAGGACAGTTTTTTTTTTTTGGGTACGCGAGGCTAGTGTTGAACACCGTATTTACTCATAATCATGCCAAATAATGAAATAGTCAATGAAGCCACGCGTAAGCCGATGAAATAATTGACAGTTTAATGCATTAATAACACCGACGTCACAGTGACTACACGGTAGGAGTAAATGTCACACTATACAGTAGGAGCAAATGTCATACGACGCGAAGCGCTTCTGTTAATCCATATACCATCGACGCCTTAAGTATCAATGCTACCTAGACCACTCAACCAGCGACTTTCCCGGACCCAGCGCTCCTCGATGTAAATCAAAGTCCAGCCATTGTATGGACATTTACACAACAGCACTTTAGATTACAACCAGTGGAACGCACTATCGTCCTGAAACTGGCGCAACAGGGCCATATACAGCCCGCCCGCCACAACGACCAGGCGCCTTTCAGCGAAGAAAGTGGACAGGGCTGGGACCTAGCGTACTCGCAAACTTTGTTTTCAGATAGTTGGGTTGAGTCAACATAACCCAGTCTGTCTGCAAGTGGGTATGGTTATTATTACTTCTGTTTGATTTGAACTTGTTCGGGAAGGCACGTCGTTAGCAATAAAAAGTTTTGCGCGTATACAGCCGCCGCCAACAATCCGCCTCATTCACTAGCATTAGCCAGTCAACAGCGCTGCTTTTAAGCGTAGACCACTCCCCTGAACATCTATTGAAGCTCCGAAATTCACATCGCCTATTGACATCCCTTTGCATTAGAGAAGCATCCATGCCTCAATCGTCCGACTCTGACTTATGTGAGCAGGTCACCTTGTAAGCCAGGCCCAGCCCGATATCGTTGAGGTCCCTCCAATGCCGCTCAAGAGCCAGAGGGGAAAACAACAACAGTCCGGGCGTATAAAACATTACCCACCTTGAAGGCCCGGGAGGCGATGTAGTCTGCCATCGTGCCTCCGCTCCAGTTGGACAGCTTGTGGAAGAGCGTGTGGAACAGCGGGTAGTCCACCTGGATACAGAATGAGGGGGAGGTTGGGGTCAGCCGTCAGAGTCTGATCGGTCTAGTCTGGTTACGATCGATCACAGCTTTGAGCGCTGTCTCCACAAACACTATCACTTGGTCCATTGTAAAATCCACAGCATTTCCTCATCAGGCTTCGTTTCATCTGGGACCTTAAAGTGTGGGGAACATTTATTTCGTTAAAATCTTTGAAAACTTGTATTATGTGCCCTGCGGGAAAATAAAATTATGATATAATCAATGCGTGAATTGATTTTAGCCTTTCACAGTAGAAGTGTCAATCGAGTTTATGGCACATTCGTGGTTTCCTTGTAAACATGTTGGATAGTGAACAGTACACCCCCCCACACGTTCTTGCAGCTTGCTTGCAGTTACCTTGTATAGTTGGTAGTGATGGGGCGTGCTGTCGGGCTTTTCGCTAGGGTCCGGAGCCCCGCCGCGTCCATAGGACTGTACCGTTAGGTACTCCTCCTTGATGTAGAGGAACAGGTCCTGTCGAAAACAAATCCAGCCGTCATAACCTCCTCGGCGCTGGGCAATACGTCCCAACACACGGTCGAGCTATAATACGATTGTGAGTGCTATAACCGGGTCGAATATTACTCTGTTTACCATCATGTATGCACGACCGAACCCTGTCACTTATTGGAATGGTAGCAAAAATACGACTCGTTGCACCGACGTGATTGCAGAGCGGTGTAGAGTACGGGTAATGACTTTATAACGAGCCTAATGTCTAGAAAAACAGGCTGAAACGATAGCCGGGACGAAACTTCATGCGTAAACACCATTCGCCATACAGGGAAGTTTATCACCGAACACTATCGGAAATTCATAAACAAATCCGCATTAAAACACTTCATGTAGGGATAATCCGTCACAATTTTTTGCAAAACGCATTTGCTTTACAAGCGACTCTGAGGTAAACATTCTACTGCGATGTGTTGGGTTAACATGTGAATGTCCAGTCTCTGCTACCGAAGGTTCTGCCACTCTGCCACGAGCTGTCCAGTACCGGCTCTGACATAACATAATCGTCCTGTCAGAGACTTGGCTCCGACCGTCCGTGCCGAGCCGGCTGATTGTTTTTCCCGGCTACCAGCTGGCGAGAGCGGACAGAGGGGACGGACGCGGCTACGGTGGAGTGGCAGTGCTAGCACGGGATGGATATCAACTGAACGTACTGCCAAAACCCGCGGCCCCTTCTGCGTCATCCAAACTCGAGTCGCTCTGGGTTCAGGTGCAGGTGGGGCGTAATAGAAACATTCTTATCTGTTCACCGTTCCGTGCTTCTATCCTCAGGATACAGAAATACTTCTCCTCCACGCCTCAACCGCACTCCGGGCTGGACAGGCACCTTTATCTCATGCGGGCTGCTCCCTTGGAGCGGCTCCGCTGCTCCCGAGGGAGCGCACCCCGTAGCCGGGTGCAGAGAGTGCTTGGGGGGCTGGTCGGCCTGTCCATTTGGACGGGCTCAGCCCCGGCGACTCTCTAGGGTGTCTGCCCAGACCAATGTCTCCCCCTAATTCCTATCATCCTTCCGGCTCTGCAATGGTCTTGTCAGACCGAAAGGGCCTAACCCAACAAAACAAAAAAAAAATCTTATCTGTTCCCTGTACCGGCCGCCGTCCGGCACCGGAGCCCAGCTGACCGCCGATCTTGATGATTTTGACGCCCAGATCGAACACTTCCTATCACGCCATCGCGGATCTGTGATTTTGGCTGGTGACATGAACTGTGATATGCGGCACGTGCAAGCTGGCACCAGTGGTGCGCAGCTGTCCCGGCTGATAGAAAAGTACGACCTTAAGCAAGTCATCTCGTCTGCTACATTTCCCAGATCTGGGTCTATCCTCGACGTGGTTATTACTAACAGAGGAACCGCTGTAACTCGCCACGGTGTCAAGCACTGTGATTTCAGTCCGCACATGTTTACTCGCGCGTTGTTTCAGTACAGCAGATGTCGCCCTACTCCAATGTCTACGAGTAGGCGTAGCTGGCGACAGATTGACTACGATGCCCTGAGGACCGATCTGTGTGCGGTTGATTGGTAGCCCGTGTTTGACACTGACGATGTCGCTCGTCAGCATGACTATTTCATACATTGTCTACTGCGCACACTCGAGGTCCACGCGCCCCTTCGCCGCTTCAGAATCAGGAACCCGGACGCGCCGCCCGTGTCAGACGGAACCCGCCGTATCATGGCCCGCCGGCGGGCTGCGCTACGCCAGGGAGACGAGACGGCGCACCGCGAACTGAACCGCCAGGCGCGTGCGGCGATCCAGCGCGACTCGAGGGAGGACGTCAGACGCCGGATCTCTGAGGCGGGACGATCGGCCATGTTCCGTTGCGTGCGGGGCATTAGAAGCGGAAAGGCCGCCGGCCACAAACTACCGGATGTGGCCCCTGACGCCTTGAATGCGTTTTTTACGGAGATCGGTGTGAAAACGGCCCAATCTGTTACTGTCGCGCGTCCCCCCGATTTCCGTGAGCTGCCTGTTCGACTCCCCCGTGTCTCCACCGCTCAGTTCCGTGTGAGACCTGTCACTATGGGAGAGTTGCGTGCTACGGTACTGTGCATGAACGGCAGCGGGGCGTGTGATGCAGACGGGATTACGATGAAGTTTTTGAAATCCTGCTTTGACGCGATAGCACATGTGATTCTTTGCGTAATTAACACTAGTTTGGTCACCAGTACAGTACCTACGCCGTGGAAGCTCTCCGTGATACAGCCCATTTACAAGTCAGTCGGTGCTCTCACCGACCCATCTTGTTTTCCCCCTATATCGCTTGTGCCCTGTCTCTCAAAGATCATAGAACGGCTAGTTCACGAACAGTTGTACTCTTTCTTCGTCAACAACTGCCTTCTTGCTTCCGCCCAACATGGCTTTCGCCGAAACTATTCTACCGAAGGGTGCGTATTATTTAGGCCAGGGTTCATAATGTCCAGGGCACAATGTGTCCAGTGCTCGAATTGGCCAGTGCCTTGAATTGGCCAGTGTTCACATTGTCCAGGGATTACATGGTCCAAAAGTGGCCAACTGGCTGCAGATAGGGTAAATTCAAAGAGGCCAGGGTTCATAATGTCCAGGGCACGATGCGTCCAGTGTTCAAAATGGCCAGGGTTCATAATGTCCCGGGCACGATGTGTCCAGTGTTCGAAATGGCCAGGGTTCATAATGTCCAGGGCACGATGTGTCCAGTGTTCAAAATGGCCAGTGCCTTGAATGGGCCAGAGTTCATAGTGTCCAGGGATTACATAGTCAACCCAACCCAACCAAACCTAACCTAACCTAACCTAACCTAACCTAACCTAACCTAACCTAATCTAACCTAACCTAACCTAACCTAACCTAACCTAACCTAACCTAACCTAACCTAAGGTAATGATGTTTGCCTACCAGGGATAAGGAAATAGTTTCTCGCATGAATAGATTGCAAGCAATAGTAAATCAAATATTTTTAGGTTAAGTGGCTATGCATCAGGCTTCAGGCCTTCGGCCTGAAGCCATATACATAACCACTTAACCTAAAAATATTTGATTTACTATTGCCTGTAATCTCTCCTAAGGCATTGCCTTCGGCACTGCACTGCTTTGCATTGAGCTGATTCCGTGTTTTTTACATAATGACGTCACTTTCAGTGACTATGTAATCCCTGGACATTATGAACTCTGGCCCATTCAAGGCACTGGCCATTTTGAACACTCGACACATCGTGCCCTGGACATTATGAACCCTGGCCATTTCGAATACTGGACCCATCGTGTCCTGGACATTATGAACCCTGGCCATTTTGAACACTGGACACATCGTGCCCTGGACATTATGAACCCTGGCCTCTTTGAATATACCCTATCTGCAGCCAGTTGGCCACATTTGGACCATGCAATCCCTGGACATTATGAACTCTGGCCCATTCAAGGCACTGGCCATTTTGACACTGGGCATAGCGTACCCTGGACATTATGAACCCTGGCCAGAATGAATGCTCCCCTCTACCGAAACGGCACTTATTCAAATTACCGATCGCATCCATCAGGCCATGGATCAGGGTCATATCTGTCTTCTTGTCTTGTAAGACCTGAGTAAATGTTTTGATGTTGTGAATCACGCCAAACTGCTTCAAAAACTTGAACTTTATGGAGTGAACACTGAGTGGTTCCAAAGTTACCTTTCGGATCATTGTCAATACGTTCGGATGAGCTCGCCACAGAACGAACAGGTGACCTCCAAACCGATGAGAAACCCGATTGGAGTGTACCAAGGTACCTCGCTCGGACCTTTGTTGTACACCGTGTATTCGAACGACATCAGTTTGTACGTAGAGAGCGAGGTGACCATCGTTCAATACGCTGATGATACTCAGCTCCTCGTTACGGGCAGAAAAAGTGACATCGCATCACTGGTTCATCGCATGGAGTATGCACTAAACACCCTGCATCGCTGGTTTATGCAAAATTCCTTGAAACTGAACTCCAGCAAGACGCAGCTTATAGTTTTGGGTACGCGCCAAATGTTACGAGGTGTTCCGCCTGTTACCCTTACCGTGAGCGGCAGTACCATCCACGAGAGTGATCGCGTCAAAAACTTGGGCGTGGTGATGGACCGCACGCTGTCTTACGAGTACCATATAGTTAGATCAGCTTGTCGGACGATGCACTGGTCTTCTTATAGGTCTTAGTCATGCAGTGTGGCCAAATCCATTTTGCGTTTGGGGGAGGATGTAGAAAAAAAAGCCGCCAGAGGATGTAACTATTTTTTTGAAAAATGGTCTACTGATTTTTTTTAAGTTCTAATTTTCATAGAAAAGATGGGAAATGGCCTTACTAACATTCAGCACTGATGTATCTTTGAAGAAAGCACTTCAGTGATACATATGTAGAAATAGCAATCCTTTTTCAGACAATCGTTTAATAGGAACAACTTCAACGGCCACTGGTCATTTGCCAACCACCACCTTCCCGATGCTGATTCTCCTTACTCTATTCCAGGCATATTCCTCATCCATTCCTGAAAGAAGATCACGAGCCTTCAAATTTCCAAGCACTCCTGTCATCATCGTGAGCCTACGAATCCATCAAGATCCCTACTGCCAGATGACCTCGGACACCGACGTCTGCTCCCCGAAGATACAGCTGCGCATACTGCATACCTATTCACGTTTTATAAAATGTAAATGCATAGTGCTGTGTTTAATAGGTTACTCTCGAATCAATCGAATTAATCGACTATACGACCATTTCTGAATCAGTTATTGTATCAACATTGCATCAGTATAAGAATCAGAATTGCATCGATTATGAGAACTAAGAAAAGTTATCTCTAATATAAAATGTTGACCGATATGGCCAGTGGCCAGTACAACTCCCGATGTCATCCTCGACATTAATGTCCTAGTGCATATCCCAGAATCCAACCGCAACTGTGATCTTGGGTTCAATGTGTGCGATGAATTTACTCATTATTGTGTGTAGTAACGGCAACTGAGGGGAAAATAAAATGCAATAAGGTACCGAAACGTCCATATCGCCGATCTTTTTTGGGCTGGGTAACACTGAACTAGAAGAGTTGGTCGAACGGATGAGATGAGCACATTTTGTCACCGTTATATCGCTGGCCAGATCGCAAATCCATATCCAGACGAGACAACATATGTCGACGAGCTGCACCAACTAAGGTGATGAGTCCGCACCAGCCCGACGGACTCTAACAGAGCTAACAGAGCTGGAAAAACACACCTACATCTAGCAAGACCTAGAGCTATTACTGAATAGGTCATAAAATATTTACCAGCCTATCACACTTTTTTAGGGGAAAACACCATAGCCGGTCATTTCGACGCGTTTTTTCCAAACCCTGATCTTCTTCCCGTGAATTGCCCGGAAGCACGAAAAATCCCATTTAAAAAGTCTAATCAATTATTCGATCCTGATCAAGTATCAAGCATGTGAGCTTGTGCTGACATTGCTTGATCTGCTGAGACAGACAAACTTCAGAAAACCGAGTCACTGTATTTTCTAAAGCTTTTTTCAACCTGTCGGAAATTTACGGGAGAACAGATATGGAGTTTGAAGGAAAAAACACGGCGATTTATTCCCTGCTCAACCTGTTGTGGGTCTCATAGTTCACCCTATCATTTCCTTTTCCTAGCACAACAGGGTATGTGCTCAGTCTCACACCGAAGTTCACGATACCATGTTGGTTGGGCACAAAAAAATCGTACCACACGACAGTGGATCAGCTGTGCTGTACAACACACCAGCGTCTAGTTGAGTGCATTCACGCCGACATCTCATCGAGATAGTCATGCTTTGCAGGTAAGGAGCCGGTTCACAAATCAGTCACACGAGTCACGAATGGTGGTATGACTGACTGGGGCCAATTCATCAACCAGTTCGATTATGAGTCTGAACGCATAGTGCACGGTGCGTCTTGGTTGTTTCGTTTTGGACGTCTGCCAGTAGGTGGCTCTGTAAACACCATAACCTACTCAATAGATGTCGCCATAATGTACTATGCAGTTGTTGTGAAGTTGAAAAGATTTCATAATGTATATTGCTCAGTATTTTCCTCATAAATTAAAACACCCCTCACCTAGGTACCACTGCAATTATAAGTAGTGTTTTGCAATGAATAAGTGCCTAGTTATGTTGAATTAGAAATGTAGATCGCTTTAAATTTACACACAGCTCCAAATCCCTGAAATGATTAGGTACCTACTTCCCATCTGAATCAGATCAGGCTTCAGAATGAAGCAGTTCAATACATCATCATAGTTCAAATGGTGTTTGCAAATGCCAGAATGCATTTTCTTCATAAAGATTTTTCACACACTAAAGCAATGATTGATGTAATGAAATCTGCATACCCATCACATCTGCCTTCACATTAACATTTCATCAAATGTCCAATATTAACAGATCACCCCTCAATATAAGAAATCTTTAGTAAATGTGAATATGAAGTCCAGTGAATATTTTGAACATAACCTAACCTGATCTAACCTTACCTAGCTACCTACCAACCTAAAACTTTCAACCTGGCTGTCCCAACTCAAAACCTATTACCTACAACCTACGGCCCACAACCTATCTACACATAAACCAAATTTTATCATACCAGATACCTAACACACACACACATATATATATATATATATATATATATATATATATATATATATATATATATATATATAAATATATATAGCAATCTGTAAGAATCTGGCCAGATGCCTACATTTCTTTCAGTCAGAATGCACAGAGTAGATGGGTGGTAACTGGTAATGAAAAATCTTTGAAACTAGAGGGTTTTTACTAGCAATGACAATGTCATTGCTGAGGTGCTAATCCCAAATATTAATAATTAACTTAACGGAACCAGCCAACATCACTGGAAATTTCTTCTGAGTTCTGATTGTTGGTGTTTTTAGGTAATATGTATTTTTGAAGTATATGAATGTATCAAATCAGGAAAAATAACAGATGCACACAAATGAAATTTTAACTGATGCCTTATATATTTGTGAATGAGCTCAACATCCAGGTTCGGTTGCGGATTCCTGATGATGGCAAGAGCTAAAGGCTCGAAATGCTGAGAAACGTTCTTACCTGAGGCTGTGTTCCTGTTCCATGCTTCTCCAAAGCAATCTCAGTCTACGCTCTCCACCTACAAATAACAAACGTGCATGCATAGACCAACATCATCCCAACTTTAATCGAGATCTTTCCAGGATCAAGGTCTTAGGTCCCTGAACCTTATTGACTAATAGCTTGCAAGTATTGCTATCAGTTCTATTACGCTTCTATCAAATACTGAAATAAGGCAACAAGGCCACAACACAACACAACACCGCTTGTCTATTCAACTTAATTTCTCGAATCGTTTGTATGGAGCAAATGTTTCGGTTTTCCTCGTCTACAAAATATTGTACAAGATTATCAACCTCGACGCACCTGTCGAACTTCGCGGCCTCCGTATTACGTCACACGATTTCAGAGATTTTCGGCAGAAAAACTTCCGACATCCCTAAAACAGCGGCTCACGAAAGCCAGCCAAACGTGAAAATTAAGACAATACAGCCGGTAAAATGATGATAATATTGTAGGGAAATCAATGGAGCATGATATATGTGAATACCAAATCATAAAAATGGTTTTTCACAGTTTGGCGAAGAGTTGAAGTTAGGGGTTGTTAGGGGTAGAATTTCGCCAAAACAGGCGAAGGATGTCATTATATTTGAACATGTCAAAATAGAGTATTGTGGGCTTAATATCAGTTTTGATGCATAGGTGGGCATAATTCATCAATTTTCTTTCACTTTGTATAACATTTAGCTCGTAAAATGAGCCTGGGAATTAACAATTTCATTTCTTCAGAAGCCATTTTTTCCGCAAAATCAGCGGATTTTTCGCATGAAAATGACGAAAGTTTACTGGGCTCAAAAACAAGCATTTCGCAAATTTTCCAAGAAAATGACCGCGTATGCAATGTATTATTTCATTTTCTTTCGCATTATCTCATTTTCTCGTCTTGGTTTGGTCGACTAGCGGTGCTGTCGTCATTATAAGTTAGGGGTTGTTAGGGGGAAAATAACGACTTCCTTCGGGATTTTGACTTCCCGATAACGACTTCCTTTTTGGCCACCGGTGACGTCACAGGCTAAACAAAGCACGCCAGGGCGGTGGTGCATGATGTATGAAGAGTCAACAGGGGATTATTGTGTCTTTGATGGCCTTGAATCTCGAACGACTGCTTGTGTTGTGGACGCTGTGGATGCATTGGTGTTGTGTCCGAGGGGTTTGTGCTTATCCTGATTTTCAGTGGTTGTGTTTGAGCTTAGTTTTGCTTTTATTCTTTGCGATCAATTGATAACTATTGTAGGTATATTAATCCGAGTCTGGTCCAAGGCGATATGCTGTATCTGCGCTGGGTGAGCATCGATTGAAATTGAAATTGAAATAGCCTAGTTGTTTGTACAATTCAATTTGTGATTTCCTTACCAAACCTGTGCATGTTGTTTGGTAGGTACAAACTCAGCTCCAAAAGTCAAGACACTGGAATATAATGCAGTTTTTATTTTGTCACAATCACATCCATGCAGCATCAGCATGCTGATTTCAACTGCTAATGCCATGCTGTCTCGGTCTTGCATTTGTCTTCTTCCATACGTCTTGCAGTTGCTTCATACATACCTCAACCTATATTTTATATCAATATTGCCAGAACATAAGAATATGAATATTGCTTAACATTGTATATGCCTAATTCAAATTGGCGCTCATTGAGACAGAGGTATTTTATGACCTAGCAAGAACTTGCCAAACACATTGATGCTTGCAGAACAGTATGATATATTTAAGTGAAAAAGTCGTGAGGATGTCTTTTTCCCAATTTTTAGGATGTCATTATCCTTTTCATTAGGGGAGGATTTCCCCACAACATTGCCAATTTGGCCACACTGTTAAGTCATGCCAGATATAGACTACCGAAAGAGACTCTCATCACTATTGTCAACGCATTGGTTCTGTCAACCGTGAGATATTGTATCAGTGTCTATGGTACTGCGGTCGCCAAAAACATGTCTCGTATTCAAAAGGTAATTAACTTCGGTGCACGAGTTATCACGGGGCGGCGCAAGCATGACTGCGTGAGTGACGCACTCAGAACTCTCACCTGGCTCCCGGCTCGTGAACTGGTGACCTACCACACTCTGTGCCTACTCAAGCGCATGTTGGTGACCGGCGCTCCTCAGGATATCGCCGAGCAGCTCTCCACAGTAGGAGAGGGGAGAGAGCGCAACACACGGCAGGACGCAGGCCTCGCTCTTCCACGGATAAGATCCGAGTCCGGCCGAAGGAGATTTTTGTACCGTGCTGTGTCGGCTTTCAATGCCCTGCCTCTCGCTGTCAGGGAGCAACCACCGGGCGCTTTTAAAAGGAATGTGAAACGGCGTCTGGGCCAATTTTAGAAAGTATGCGTGCTTGTGGGCTATGTATGTTTTTTCTGTGTGCTTGATTGCGTCACCATCCCCTTGTATTTACTTTTTCACATCCTATGACACGAACTCAAGAATAGCCATGTTGTATGGATGAGTTCTTAAGTGTTCAATAAACAATAAACAATAATAAACATTTTACAAATAATCGATAAACCGCTAACGCACTGAGCGGGTATCCGCCGCCCGCGCTGACCTTGAGTTCGTCCTGGGTGAAGAACCGCTCGGCCTCCACGCAGCGGATCATGGAGTTCATCGTGGTGTCCTCGATAGTCTGGATCACCTGGAGATCAGAGGCATATGTAATATACATAACCGATGACGTAAAAAATACGGTACAATTATAAACTGACTGACAACTTAATGAAGACGGGGAAGCACACTTCCCCCGTCATAAAGCCAACTGATGGACTGAAATAAATATTCATCAGCAGAGCCATCAGAAGACAGATCACAGCAGTAACCACGGTTACCAGCAATCCCATCGATGAGCAAAGGTGCAGCGACAGCCCATTAAATGTTAAACCAACCACTGCGGGTATCAAGGCAACTAAGTATAAGTCGCTCAACGGCATAACAAATTCACCGAGTCGGTGGGTGACCAGGAGCTACTAAGCACCTCTGATCTTACCTTGAGTCGGTGTTTGAGCCTGAGCCGCTCGATAGCGCTATTGGTGAGCTTGCCAAAGTTTGAATAGGCCTCGTGAATCAGTACGGACACGTCTATACTGGTGTCCTGCAACGGAAAGGGGTCACGCCAGGTCATAAGCGAGTAAAAGATTTTTACCTGATGTGCATTATATTAAACAGATATAATGCACATCAGGTAAAAATCACATTTGTTACGCGAGGTCGAAAATAAACAAGTTCGATTTCAATTTCGATTTCAAAAATATACAAGCTTGATGAAAAAGTCTATTAACCCGCGCACCGACGGGAGTCTGCGCCGACTTAGAACCGACGGGGGAGGGGTTGACCCCCTGAGATCTCGAGAACGAAGCAAGATAGAGACAAGCGGTAAACGGCATGGGGTACGAACGCACGGACAAGGTCTACAGTTTTTACGGAGATCATTTTCAGATCAGGTCAAAGATGACGTGACAGGGGTCAAAAAAGTCCAAATGGCGGCGCTAGATATGAGGAGAGTTTTTCTCGAATAACTTTCGAAGTAGCCAAGCTAGGAACAAACTAAGGGCACCATCGTGATCCTCTCGTCAATCCACATCGAATCATATAGGTGCTGACCTCGAAAGGTCAAGGTCAAAGGTTGACCTCAGATCACGTGACCTCAAGGTCAAAATGTATATCATTCGATGCGCCTTGGCGAGCTGAACACGATGAGACCATCCGCGCGGCTGTATCTCGTTCCTGTGAGGAGTTATTCGCAAAAAAAAACTGTATTGACCCTTGATGACGTCACATGACCTTACAGTTGCCCAAGAACAAAAAAGCCTCAAGGTAGTCAAGGTTGATCGTAAATAAGGTCATTCATGGTATATTGGGCCATTCCGACGCGTTTTTTGTGGAAAAACAGGGAGTTGATTTTTCCCCATTGACTTATAATGGGGAGGTCAAGAAATTGACCTGACCTTAGGTCATCAATATCAAAATTCCGAGACATACAATTGTAGCTACTAATGACCTCGTTATATCCTGCGACTTTCAAAGGCCTCCGTCATCTACTGTAGCTCTGACACGGTGACAAAGTTGCAAAAACGTGACTTGAGGTTGGGTCATTCGAAGTGACCTGGTGACCTGCCTGACCTTGAAAGATAGGAGGTTCAAACTTGCACACCACGTGTAAAATTGGTGAGGGAAAAGTCATACCAAATTTCGCCGGTTTTTGCGCTATTCGCGAAAAAAAACTCAGGGTGGGGGCGGTCAACCGCCCCCCCCCCCCCCCCGGGTTGGTGCGCGGGTTAAATTAACAACAATATCAATCTCTTTTGTGGTTAATCACTTTCACGAAAGCCATGGCCATCGAACCCCTTATCAAAGTCCAGCATTTCAGCGTTTGAAGAAAACAAGGCCAAAACAATTCATTGCAGAAAAGCATGCACCGAAACCATCACGCATTTCATAATCATGCAGCCTGCCAAATAATGCATGCCTGAATTGTAAGTTACACCATTTATTTCCTGAGCAAGAACCGCTAAAATATATTACAGTACTTTTTCAGGCAGCGCCAAACGATTAATGTTGCATTTCCTCAAGAATGTATGAGCCTTTTAGTTGAAAAAGTCTTAAGTCAGGAGGGGCAGACTCAAGTAGTTGAAAAAGTCTTAAGTCAGGAGGGGCAGACTCAAAGTACCAGACCCATACCCTTCCCCCCATGCACACTCCCGTCGCTAAGTCGCGTGTATTTTCGTACAAAATAAAATTATCAAGAATTATCCACTGACTCGCCATTTATCAGCTTCACCCCTAACCGCAAATATCATACATGTCTCGCATCTAACGCTAATCATCTAAAGATAACCTAAAAATGCATGCCACTCAAGTAAGGCATTTTGCGGGCCCTGACAACGCTTTTTTATAAGCATTTAAGAGGCACTCGTAGTAAAGCATTCGACTCTAGCAATGCATCTCATTCCTACATTTTGTGATATTTACGCCAGTATCATCCGCATTCCCATATTATAAACCCTGGCGTCAGATCATACCCAATATACCCGACGCAACGAACATTATTCCCACACCGCGCTATAGTGTATAGTAGCGTCAGCGTGCTATATCGTTGTATTATAGCGCCAGTATATACAGCGTGCGGCAGCGCACCGGCTCGCCTCACCATGTTTTTGACGTCCTCCGGCTTGTAGCACGTGTAGAAGACGGACTGTCCGACCCTCACCGGAATGTCCGAGTTGGTGACCGCCTCCAGGTACCGGCACAGCACCGTCATCGCCTCGCCGTCATCGCGGCAGTCTGGAAACGCGTCATCGGGCGTCAGCACGTCATCAGGGGAAGCACGTCATCATGACAGGCTGGCGACGCTATGTCAGTGGTTAATTCGAGGACTGTCACGAGACAACTTCAGAGCACGGTGTTATGCTAGAGTGTTACGAGAAAGAGCACGGAATGTACATAAGTAACATGGTACTACATGGAAAAATGTTTTCAGCGAAAAGTGACCAAGCCGATCGCGTTGCTTCCGCTGGCCTACTCACAACCCCGCAAGGCATCATCATCCGGCACATAAGACCCTGTATTTTGTAACCAGCCTATCTACCATGACCTCTGTGACCTGACTGACCTTCGAGCGTCTCTCGGTTGGTTTGTAACCAGCCTATCTGCCGTGATCTCTGTGACCTGACTGACCTTCGAGCGTCTCGCGGTTGGCGTCGAGCACCGCCAGCGCTACCATGAAGTTGGTGCGCGCGCCGTCATACAGAAAACAGTCCATCACGTTCACAGCTGACTCGAATGGCATTACACTGGGGGAAAGGGAGACCGGAGTTAAACTCACAACTTATGAGCTTATGAGCTGTAACAGGCATTACACTGGTGGAAGGGGAGAAGAGGAAAGTGAGTAAGAGTTGAACCCATCACCTAACAGGCGGCCAAGCAATGCAATGGTAGGGGGACGGGGCCGGAGCTCACGTGTTTGAACACACAGTCTGACAGGTATCAGACAATGAGATCGAACAGGGTAACGGGTTGAACACATCGAGTGATTCGAACGAAATTAGACAGACTGATAATTTGAAGATGAAGAGCATATCGAAACACTGTTATATAGCCTGAGCTGCAGTTCACAGGCCAGACGAGGGACTGGTTGAGCCGGGCAGGAGCTTGAAGTTGGGAAGTAGAGCACTTATACGCGAACAGAATACACGTTATGTAACTGTACACAACCAGCAAACGTCCATCCCTCCCCGCTTCAAGTAATCACCTCGAACTCATGCACTATGCAGTACCTAACATGGCTTTAGTATTTAATGCACAGGCCCTATATAGCACACAATATGTTGTAGAAATTCGTGGTTTGAATATTTTAAAACTAAGACACCGTATTTATTATCACGATGGGCCGATGGGGATCCATAGACATGCATACACGGCACCCTTGCACTACATTTAACGATGATATTACACCGCTGATTCAGGTAGCATAATGACTACTGAAAGGTTTGGGCCATGGGGCCGATCGAGTGACCATCTTTATCGATTATGGAGGGTAACAAGGGCAGTGCTGTGTACGCTGGAGACAGTATGGCACCGTTGCAACAGTTTGGCTCACTGTCAGACTACCAGATATTATGTAAACCAAATACTGGAATGGTGGTATTCGACCATGCCGTAAAACAATAGTGAGTGCGATATTCAAAGACGATTAATCTACTGACTCTGTCAAGCTACAGAAAGTGTGCAAAACATAATCGAAGGCAGTGAAACAAACGTCTTAAGCATGAGTGTTGCAGAGCTAAAAATTACCTAGCGAACAATAGTTGCTTAAAACTAAATTCAATTAAAGGGACTATCCCACCTTCAAAAAAGTACCGTTTAGGGTTCGGAAATGTTACTCATGATATTTTGACGAATTCTGCAAGTTTTTACGCGTTTTCATCGTATACTTTTTGAGATATTGCGACTTTCATATTTCATCGTGACGTCATTTATATCAAATCTGTGACGTAATGAAGGATTTACTTCATGTCAATGTCAGGGGAAATTTGGCAGCAAATGTATTTGCTCTCAAATATGACGCGGCTCATACAATAACAAGTGTCTCTGATTGGCTTATTCGTAAATCAAGTGATACTTCACTTGAATGTGTGACAGGCGTTCAAAAGGCAAATGAGTAATGACGTCATCAAATGGCCGTTAATAGTTAAGAGATAGGGCCTTAGCTAAGGCCCACTTTTCAAATGAAGGGAACGAATTTTCTTTAACACCACGAAACTGAGGATATTGCGACCAGGATATATAGCGGTTTCTGAACCTGGCCGCCAACTTGGCTATCTCAACTCAGAACTAATGCAAAGGTGGGACAGTCCCTTTATGTATCAAAATGCCTAACAATATGACTGTGGGAACTGACCTGAGAAAAATGGTGAGAAACCACGACAGTGAGATCATGCTGATGACGCCAAGACTCTCCAGTTTGGAGTGGAGGTCGGGCAGCTCGACAGAGATCAGGTCCTCCAGCACACCCTGGTCCACCAGAGCTCCGACCACCTGGAGGAAGAGATAAAGGGCTCGATCAGCACCCATATAACTAACTGATACAGCCTAGTGTACTGTCTTCACCTGGCGGAGGAGGCGCCACTTAGGAGGAGGTGGATCAGGTCTGTCAGCATTCCCACGACGACAAATAAAACGTCAAATCGTGCATTTATCCAGTGTGGCTATTACAGCGACATGAGACACACACGAGAAAAATATAAACAAACGTTAGTTGATCGCCACGGGAAGCTGCTCACTGAACAGCTGCAAGTAACCCATACACAGACGACTAAATTATAAAATAACTATTACGCAAGGGTAGAGTGGTTTCAGGTTTGTCGCTTCCATCACGAGTAGGTCCTTTCATTGACCAACTACCACAAATCCCACCTTTGTGTTGTAGTAATCGGGCAGCAGTCGCTCACAAATGGCCACCAGAAGCCAGAAGGTCTGCTCCTCGGAGCAGTAGAGCAGCATCACAGACGCCACGATATTCATCGCCTGGCAGTACCCTGCCAAAAAAAAAAAAAAAAAACACACACACACACACACAGGTGGAGTGTCACAAACGGCTCCCAGACACCGGTTACCGGGACAAAAGCCTACCCATAGCAATGACAACAATGATACAGTTGAGCCTCTTACCTCTCTCCATAATCTGTTCTCCCATTTAACCCGAACCCAGCTATATCCTTGAGAGGAGTTCCATCCTCTCAACAAGCAGCATTGCTTATCCCCTCCCCCAGAATATGTCCCTACCCACCAGTCTGTCTCCCTGATCCTAAGCCTCCCCCGTGTCCCACTCCATCCTCAGCCCTCATCCCTCCCCCTCCGCTCACCAATGTTCGGGTTCCTCAGGGCGTAGGCGCTCAGTACTCGGCGCAGCGCGTCAATACCGGCCGACGCCTGGAAGGCGGGATGCTCAGGCAGCGAGCGGTGCAGGTCCCTCTCGATCTCGTCTGCGCCCGGCACACGGCCAGAGCTCGCCCGCTGGGCCAGCTGCACGTAGTAGCCCGGGTGGGTGGCCATCTCGTGGCCGGCACCTGGGAAAAGAAGTACAGACAATGGCCGGTAGAGGACAGTAATGGCAGGGAAATGGTCCCAACTCCCAATAATGCAACATCCCCAAGGATTATCTACAATATATGTATGTCTAATATTCGTACAAATTTAATAATGAGAGATAAGTTTATTAATGAGATAAGTTTATTAAATTATTTAATAATAATTTAATAAACACTTGTACAATAATGAGACTATAATTACGGCAGCTGATGCAGAATCTCGATATAAGAACCCCTTCCATGCCCGTAAGGCCCACTGCATAAATGGTTCGCTCTATCTAACAACTCAGCCGACATCAGCCCACGGGTCCCACTCTTGTCACAATTAGTGCCCATAAATCCTGGTCACTAAACTAGCTATTCCGACCACTGAGTGACCATTCCGCTCACTGTCTCCTTCCGGTATCTCGGGGCCTTATCAGCTGGTCACTCAGGATTCTGTGATCGCTCGCTCGGAGTCTCACTGCGGTCACTCGTGTTTCCCGCTCTCACCTGAGAACACCATCCACAGTTCTGCCCTCAGTGTGGCCGGTATGCCCTTCAGGACCAGCAGCCCGGTGGCAGAGGTACGGTACATGGTCTGGCCGCGGCCGTACTCATCAAAATGGTGCTCCCACATCTCCTGAAGAGTGGTAGACGGGAGCAGCGCGGTCACGAGAAGGTTGGCGGAGTTGCAGGGGTCACGCCGAGTCACATCGGACACATGAGGCCTATTATTGCAGTGTCACATTCAGTTTATAAGGTCTAACAGAGTCATATTAACCCGCGCATGACTGGGGTATTTTCCATAACGCGAGTGACTGGGGGGGGGGGCTCTCCAGAGCCCCCCTCCTATCTCCGAAACTACTGGGCCGATCGTGAAAATTCAAACGGCGTCTGATAGCCCTGGAAAAACTGTCGAGCGAAACCTATTTTTATTGACCTCGAGGTCACCGATGACGTCACAGGTCAGGTCAAAGTAAAAATTATCGACATTTTTGCTAGTTCACAATTTAGGCTCTGACAGCCGGACCGCCGGTCCGATCAGGCTCATTTTTGGTTTACGCACTCCTTGACGGATGCCTTAGATACCCTGAGGGTACCGAACTTTTACTTCGAATTTTTAAGGTCAAGGCCAGGTCATCCTAGGTCACGAAAATTGTATATCATGTATCGGTCACGTGACGCATGTTTTATGGTCCATTTTACTCGTAGATTTCGAAAATAGTGTCGTCTGTGTCATTTGAGGTCATTGTCAGCTGAATTTACCGGAGGTCAGGTCACTTTCAGGTCAGAAAAGGTCAAATTTTGAAAATGAAATTTTTCAACAAAAAAGGTACCTATCAGATGCAGTTTGAGCTCAGGAACACCAAGGTGCCATTTATATTGCTGTACGACGTCAAAAACGTACTGAAAAATGGATTTGAAAAACATAAAATTGTAAAATTTGGACAATAATGCGAATAACTTGGCTATTTTTGAAGACATTGGGCTAAAACTTGCAAAGGTAGTTCATCAGTGTGTGTTCTATCACATTAATTCCGGTTTTTGCGAAAAGCCAAAAACTTTTTGAAAAAATCAAAAAATATATTTTTTGTAATTGTAAATACATATTTTTCAAAATTTTCAAAATTTCGAAAATTCGAGATAGCAGTTTGATAGCTACGTGTATTTGTAGTCCACTCATGCAAAGAAAATGGATCTAGCTTTAACACGCGCAGTGGAAGGGTTGCGAGTACTACGCCCAGTGGAAGGGGGGGGCGGATGTCGCCCCCCCCCCTCCCTAAGATCTCAGCTCCCACTGGAGCTAGAAAGACGAAATTTGGAGGGTAGGTGGGGGCCATGGGGAACTCTGTTGTGTGTGAATTTCATGACCCTAGGTCAATATCTTCAAGGTCAAATGAGGTCAAATGTGGTCAAATCGGCCATATTAGCGACTTTTATGCGTTTACACGCCGATAACTCAAAAAGTTACCGGCCGATTTTTTTAAATCTTTCACTATACGAAAGAGCAAACATTTGTGAGTATGTATGGTGAATTTCTAGATAATCCAACAATAAATATGGCAGTTAGAAGCCTGCTAAGGGTAAGATGTTGCCGGCTGAAGCGGCATCGGCCGACGCGGGAAACGCGGCAATCACAATTTTGTGTTTACACACTCATAACTCAAGTTGTTACCGGCCGATTTTCAAAATTCTTTGACGATATGATTGCCTGTACATTTCTCAGTCTTCTCACCGAATTTGACGCGAATCTAATATAATCAGCGGTAAGGAGCGCGATGTAAAGACGGAACCGTCCCGCCCCGGCACAGTCTACAATTCAGGCGGCGCGTAACGGCTAGCGCCGGCCGCCGCGCCGCCGCGGCGGCAGGATGTTTGACTTTACACCGCTATTACTAGAAAAGTTGTGAACCGATTTTCTTACTTCTTGCACGAGAAGATCCGCAATTCAATTCTGGACAGGTAGCCAAAATTTCACATTGATATTATGCTTGCGGCGCGAGTTATTGGCGAAAAACAGGAGGGGTGGGCGAAATCCGCCCCCCCCCCCCTTCCACTGCGCGTGTTAAAACTGAGCTCTTGAGAGCGTTTGCCGTAATTCAGTATCTTGCATGAAAATCGGCCGACATGACGTCACTCTGACGTCATTTCCGGCCAAACTATGGTAGCTAGAAAGTTGAAATTTTAACACAAGGTGTCAAATTGATGCCTCTGAGGGTACCGCAAGTTTCGTGTTGATCCGTCAAACGGTTTAGAAAATATTGCTGAAAAACGGGAGGGGGGCTCTGTAGAGCCCCCCCCCCCCCCAGTCATGCGCGGGTTAAGTTGTGCAGTGTGTGTGGCGGGAGCGTCAGTCTGCGCCCGAGGTGGATACTGCCATGGATACTACGCGGACATTGCTACACGATGATGTGGAATTAAGTGGTTGGGGCGGGCTTCAAGCTGTGGCGAGTGAAAACTATTCCACACTCCATGGATATCAACCCATCGAGAAGTACCTATCGTGGAAGAGCCAGGGTTCACCTGATCGCCGCCCGTACCTCCTTTTTGAGTTGCCGGCCGGTGGTCTCTGGCGTGGTGGGGCTCGGGAACTGGTACATCAGCGGCGGCTGCAGCTCCCAGTGATCGGCGCTGCTCCCTGAGAGGGCACACAGAGGCAGATGTTAGTCCCTGCTGCTAGACGAGGGCACAGTGTAGGCACCATGTACACACAGTGGTAGGCTCAGTTAGCAATGTCCGCTAAGGGCACACAAGGATGAAAAGGTGATCACATCAGACTGCAGGAGTAAAACCTGCACAGACACCTTGGACAGACCGACTTCCAGCCGAGAGCTACCAAAAGTCACTGTCAGGGCTGCGGAGTCGATGGATTTTCGGCGACTCCGACTCCGACTCCGGCTTTCAAAAACCAGCTCCGACTCCGACTCCGACTCCGGGCAGAATTGTCGACTCCGACCGACTCCAACTCCCGACTCCGACTCCGCAGACCTAGCAGGGCTGCGGAGTCGACAGATTTTCGGTGACTCCGACTCCGACTCCGGCTCGGGTTTCTAAAATCGACTCCGACTCCGACTCCGACTCCGGTCACAACTGTCGACTCCGACCGACTCCGACTCAGACTCCGACTCCGACTCCGCAGCCCTGGTCACTGTCATATTTAGTCTTTCTCATTCCGTCAGAGCCAGCGAAAGCGCCTGTATTACTACCACACACGGGCCCTGAGCCCTGAGATCCCGTCACCGTCTCCCCAGCCCTCCCACTGACCTGGGCCGGCCTTGCTGGAGTCTGAGTCGACCAGGATGAAGCCGGAGCTGTTGGACGAGACGCTGTGTATGCTCACTCGGTCCGAGGACGACACACTGCGAACGTAAGAAAACGTGGCGTGAATCACACAGAAAAAAGGAAACACCACTGGCTAAAACTATTAACATCTTCTGAACAACATATGGCTGAGGGTAATATTGAATTCAGGGTAGATGCTGATGATACACTCACAAGCTAAAATATCTGATCAATGTGTAAACTAGAGTTACAATTTACATGCCAATTTGAAATGAAAAATCATGCAACGGTACATCTCCAAAGCCGGCCAGTTCGCACTGGACTAAATGTCGACGCCCGTTGAAGATACTGTTAATCTGTTAACCCTCGCCCCGTTGGGGGGGGCCATTTTGCCCCCCCCCCCCCTGTGGTTTTTCCTAAATAGCAAGAAAACGGCGGCGCGCAGCGCCGCCAAATTTTCAGTACCTTCCCGGGCATCAATTTGACACCTTCACACCAAATTTCAAGTCTTAGGTCACCTTAGGTCAGGAGTTATTGAGGTCAAACTGAGGTCATGTTCGAGCAAAAATGAGCAAAAAACATGCAACCTTGAAACGCTCACCAAATCTACAGTAATCAAGCAATTTCAAAGTTCTTTATATGGTCTAGTAGACAAAAAGCGGCGCTACAAAACTGCTATCTCGGATTTTCAAAATTTTGGGTTTTTGACCCCAAAAAATTCTAAAAATTGATTTTTTAAGAAAAACTTTAAAAAAATCCAAAATTTTTCCGAATTTCGAAAAAACCGGAATATATGTGATAGTCCCTGCGCTTTTCTATATACATACCAAATTTCAGATCGATATCTCGTTTTTTGGCCAAGTTATAGCGAAAAAAACTGTTCAAAAATGATGACGGCAAATTTTTGAACTCAATTTTGAGCGATTCTAGACCACGTACGGCAAAACAAAGACCACCATTGAACTCCCCGTGACGAGCTGCATCGATTCGATACCCATTTTATGCAAAAATATTAACTTTGAAATTTGACCTAATTTGACCTGACCTTGACCTGACCTTGACCTGACATTGACCAAAACGTGACCTAAGCTGGCCCCAAAGGCTGCCTGACCCACATAATCGCATTTGTCATGTAAAATGGGCCATAAAACATGTATCACACGACATTTTCATATTGTGACCCCCCAGTGACCTGACCTCTGTAACCTGACCTGGTATCAGTGACCTCAAATAGCAAAATATGTGTTTGAAGAACATTTCCCCATCGATGATTTTCAATGAAATGCATTTTACTCGATTTTACAACGCATTTCTTGAAATGCCTGTAAACGGTGAAAATTGGACCTTTGACCTGACCTGTGACGTCATCGGTTTGACCTAGGTCAATAAAATTGGGTCACAAGGTAGTTCCCTGATAGGGCTATCCAACACCGTTTGCCGCTTGTCGCTAGGTTGCGTGGTTCTCGAGATCTTAGGGGGGGCCAAAATGGCCCCCCCCCCCCCCCAACGGGGCGCGTTGCTCGGCAGAGCCCAACGGGGCGCGGGTTAAATGTCTTCAGCAAGGCTAGGTAACATGATGAAAGTCTTGTACATCTCAAACTCAATGAATGATCTTAGACGCAAAAAGTCTGTCAATTTCTGCCGAATATCCTCTCTCGTCTCCACCTAGCCCGGACTCACGCTGTGCTGCAGGTCAGCTTAGCCAGGAACTCTGCAATGCGCTCCAGCACAAAATCACGGTCGGCCACGCGAGCGAATAGGAAGCTCTGCCGCCTCTTCATGGAGATGCAGAGCGCCTGCGAGAGGTCCTGAGTGCAGCCGGGAGAGTCTGCCCGCTCTGCCATCGATACCTCCCGCAGGGGGATGATGAGAGACACCAGACCCCGCACCTGGAACGGAGATATGCCGCATGAGGCACACACGCGTACATCATCAGCGAGATGCCCTAACCTATTGACTACAAAGGAGCGCTTTAACCCGCGACCCGCTGGGCTATTCAGCCATACGCGCCCTGCTGGGGGGGGGGGGGCAGATTCTGCCCCCCCCTGTCTAACTTCCGAACCGATGGTCGTAGAAAGACGGGGAAAACGGCAATCGAAAGCACTCAACAAGGCGGATCTTAAGAGCCCAAATTTTTTTACAGTATCATCGAAAAAAAATCAATGTATGGAGCTGATTTTTTTTTTACTAGCATTTCTTATTTTTCTGAATCAGAAAAACATAGTTTGAGGACCGAACTCGGTGAAAAAATATTTTTTCATGAGCGAGTCATTTTCATGAGCGAACCACCACTACAAGCATGGCCGCCACTTTGGAAGCCTGCGAAATTACTACAGAACTGGCGCAGATAATACATTATTGACGCTACGCTTACGCGGCCGCTCTTCCAATTGAGTTGTCGTTGAGATCGAGACTGATCAGATGACGTCATACATATACGTCATACATTGGAGGGTGATTGTGATTCAAGCTGGAGGAATTCCTTTGTTGGGCCGCTAGAATCCGAAGGAAACAGCGGAAATTGCCTACGACTATTTAATGAATTTAACGGTGATGAATAAGTGCGAAAAACGTTTTGGCTTTATAAAATTTGATGAAATGACCAGGGTAAAAGTTTTATTACTGGCGGTCAATTCAAAACGGCGCAGACATTTAAACAGTGAAGATAGTGAAGCACGATTCAAAGTGTAGTACACCTTTCGTACTTTCAGCGGCGATAGCGGGATAACGGTGTGGAGCTTCGAGGATCGGTCTTCAGTTCCCGGACCAGAAAGGTGGGGCCTATGCAATGTCAAATTTCATCAAAATGGTGATACTGTCCCTTTAAGTAGGTCAGAGGTCAGGTCAAGGTCATGTCAAGGGTACAAAATGCAAGTTTCTACAGTATCGGCCTTGCACCGTAGTTGCCGAAGAATGGACTGAGACTGATTGCCCAAAACGTGTTCTTAGACTACCAAGACAATATTCGTTGCATACAATGTCATTCAAAGGTCAAGGTCAAGGTCAGGTCAGGTCAGGTCAGGTCACCAAAAACAACATATAGAAAAGGGCATGTGCGACACATGTTGTATGGGTCATTTTACTCATAGAATTCAATAGGCACACTCAATAAGTGATATGGACCACCTCTGGATGAATTTCAGGTCGAGGTCAGGTCAAGGTCAGGTCAAGTGAGGTCAAATTTTGAAGTTGGTTGTTAAGGCCTAAAAATGTGTCTATCTGATGCAGTTTTTCACGACGAATCGAATGGTGCTATTTTTGTGTCCGTACGAGGTCTACAACTTCCAAAAAAAAATCATTTTTTCAAAATTTTTGTGTGTCGTGACGTCATAAAATTTTGAATAACTCCCACATTTTTGAACCGATTCTTCTAAAAATTGGTATGTAGGTGCACATAGACCACTTCTTTGACATATATTCCGGTTTTTTCGATATACTCAAAATTTTGGATTTTATAAATATTTTCCCAAAAAAGTCAGTTTTTTGAAAAAATGTGGCCCAAAATCCAAAAATGTCAAAAAACCGAGATAGCCATTTGATAGACAAAGTAGAATCACGTATAACCTTTTTTGTTACGTCTTGATTCCTTTAAAAATGAAGATGTTAGCGGCGTTTGAAATTTTGCCGTTTTTTAGGCGAAAATGGCGAACATGACGTCACTAAAACGTCAATTTTCCGAGGGATTTCGCTCAAATTTTCAGAGAACGTGTCAAATTGATGCATGATAAGGTACTGAAAGTTTGACGTCGCTGGCGTAGCGCGTTTAGAAGTTATTGGCGAAAAACGGGAGGGGGGGGGCAGATTCTGCCCCCCCCCCCCCCCAGCGGGGCGCGGGTTAACATCAGTGACAGACACTGATATCCACACATGAATGGAAAACCATACATCTCCAAGTTCCCGCCAACAAGAAGTGCATGAGGCGCACGATCACCCAGAAATGGTTACCACTAGGACCCTGGACCCCTAACACTACATAGCATGAACCACAGTCTGCAGTAGTACAAAGTGGTAACGGGAACGCAATACCACACTGCGGTTCCTGCTTCAAAGACGAAAAAACTACATATCAACTTGCCAACTATAAACGTCTATGAAAGCAACTGCAACACAACCATTCTGAGTCACTCCCCAAAACGCCAGAACGTAACATCCATGTAGACTAATTCAAGATGATAAACCATCACACTGGCAATCCACACGAATGACTGTCTCGTAACCGCCCACAAAGCAATCTGAGGATCAATCCCCGCGCTCTTAGCATCATAAATAATTCAGCCATTGGTGTATGGGCCATTACAAAAGTTACTGCCGCTTGCTGCATCTGTTGGTTCCCTCAATGCAGCTGCACCTGGCTTCTCGCAGTTTATTCACGCAGCCAAATGTCACCCTCAGTCTGATTCCATTCCAAATTCCCATGTAAATGTTTCGCACGAAATCATGCTTTGTCCCAAGATATCCCAAGGTATACATATTCAACACCTCCATCAAACAACAAGCATCTAAGTAGGTCATGCCCAGGAAGAAAACCTACCCAGAGGGAACAGGCGGTCCGCATTCGTCTACCCTAGCATGCACCCGTCTCTCTCGCGTTCTGATTCGTCGACCAGGCTGGACGCTGTTCATGACTCCCATGCAAACACCAGCCATTATCGGTTTTGATCCGACAGAAGGCGAGTACCATATTCTAAATGACATTGACGTCACTTTACAAAGCGCTGAATGCAAGCCGGTATCCCCAAAAGCTCAGTAATTTCCCGATGGGTAAGGTCACAGACTTCTCTATTTATTTAGAGAAGTCTGGTAAGGTGTATGAGTGTTACTTGTGTTGTCGCTTTGATGCCTCGGTTATATATGAGCTAGGACAAGGCGCAGCCATCAGCCCAGCGTTGATCAGTCCCATTCGTTCAAACAGCGTCCAGTCCCCGCTCACAGCAGTCGGTCCCGTCATGCAGCACGTACCGCGGCGGTGGCGCGGCCGGCCGGCGGCTGAGGCCGGCCCAGACCGCCGGTCCCGCCGCCCCACTCTGGCTCATACCAGTGTGGACACTGGCCGTAGCGCGACTGTCGCGGTTTGTGTCGCACCGACCGGCGAGAGGGCACCGGCGCCGGAAGCGCGCTCTACACCAGCGACCACCGCCGCCAGACGACATTGCAACCGTTAGAAAGCATTCTAATACAACTTCCATCAATGTCAATGTCATGCGATTCCCCGATCCATCATAATCGCTACTGCAGCAGCAAATGTCTTTCAGAATCGCGCACCCATTTATTTCCGTTGAAATGACGCGAGATACTGCCTTCATCTACCAAAGTTGCCTCAGAGCCCATTTTCGTGCAAACTCTCCACCCCTGACTACTACGGCCATCAAGAGAACCTCCACACACACGACCCCCGCATAATCTCCATGTCCCTAGGATCTCTTATTTTTATCTTGATGCCACCCGAGTAACATCTTCGCTGTTTACGTTGGAGCCATCAGGTGCAAGCTGAGCTTCATGACCAGTACGCATTCTTTTGAGCTAGTTTGTGATCAGACTGACCACAGACTGACCACAATAGCACTACCTCCCTCCTCCCATCTTTATCATTCCTTCCCATTCTACAGATATACCCGTTCTCATTCCCATGGCCAACTCAATTCCCACATCAGGTCTCTCCACTGTCTTCTCTCCATAATTCTCTCCTCTCTTACCCTGCTCTCGAAGCAGACAAAGTTGGCGCTGATGTACAGCGTCCCCCAGACGTGCTGTTTGTTGTAGGGTGTCCATAGGGTACAGTCGGCGCGCCCATCCAGTTTCTCGCCGCCCGGCAGTCGGAAGTTACTGCGGTACGCCTCGCTCTGCGCGCGGGCGTCCAGGTCCCGCTTCAGACCGGGCGTCTTCCGTGACACGTTCCGGCTGAGGGAGAGGGAAAATAGGGTGGATAAGTAAAAACTAAGCAAAGAGGGACTGATGCAAAACACGACATGCCTGACAAACAGTCGGAAAATAATGGATGAAGAAGAAAAAAGAGGGATGCGTACACACGCAGCGAAAGGGGTAAGAAATACTAGAAGTAGGCCAGTCAGCGGTTCTTTAACATCCGGCAAAAAAAGAGTAAAAATAAAAAGCATGATAGGAAGTGAGAGAAGCGCAGGCGTGTGCGGCTGGGTTACTCGAAAACCCATATATGTCACTGTGACAATTCATTCAAGCCGGACTGGTTGATTGTAACGTTGATGGTGGTATCAATAAACGCTGTGTCTGACCTGATCTTGTTGATGAGCTCGGGGTCCTCACTGAAGCCCTCTTCCCGCATCAGCTGGCGCATGGCGATGTTGGCCAGCTGCTCGATCAGCTCGTACGTCTCCTTCTTGTGCAGGAACATGGAGAAGTAATACTGTGGAAGACAGCCGACAGGGGTGAACAAACAAGAATGGTAGCGATGTCGACGAAGGAAAACATCTCAAACGATATGAACAACAAACCAGCGAAATTTAACTGGACTTAGTTATAGATCAACGGCTACGCAACAATTACTTCCGCTATGGCACAGCTGATCTTGCGGCAATAAGCCTTGCGTTGCAATATCAACCATATTCTATGTAATAAGGATGATAATAAATGCTCATAAAGGCAATAAATATTAACATAAGCCGGCACGCACCAGCCTAACTCACCACCCTGCGAAGGTCATCAGTGTTACTCACGCTCTTTTGCCGTGTGGATATTTTGATGCTGTCTGGGAATATGAGCGAGTTGGACTTGTCGATGCTGACGATGTCGGTCCATCGCAGTCGCACCTTGACCTCTCGGCCCAGGATGAACGAGTAGAAGCTCAGGTGGGAGATGCTGAGGTACAGCCAGCCCTGGCGCGGCACGCCCTTCCAGTAGCTGACGGTTATAAGGTCAGCATTACTACAAGTTGATAAAGTATAGAACCAAACTAAAGGTGGTGGTAGGTAGGATAGAGTCGACAATGGACGCTGAACGCTAAACACATGTTGCGCAACTACCAAGCCCTATGATACAGCGACTGTTACTGAGCCAAACTGGTGGGGACTCGTGGGGACACCCTTCCAGTAGCTGTAAGTGATGGTGACGATTACTAAAGGGCAATCATGGGGCGGGGTCGATAATAGAGGCTGAAAGTTACACACAACAGGGGGAGAGGAGGGGGGGGGGGGGGGGGTCACGGAACACTGCGAAACAGCGGGTGTGAGGGCGACACTACCAAGTCATGTGGAACAATGTTTCTGATCCCAACAGGACAGCAACCAGCCATGTAGTAGATATCATATGCTCACCCATAGTCAGTAACCACTGTCCCCATCAGCCCCAACCAGGGCATGCTCAGTGCTCACCTGCACGAATAGTGGTTGACCAGTTTCTCCTCCGCGGGTGCGTTGAACAGCCGCCGGAATTTCTCCGTGGTCGATTTGAACGCGCCCGTCTCGTTGTCTGTGAACAGGGCCGTGGCGAGGTGAGTGACACTGGTCACAGCTCTGACAGGGTTGTGGCACACCGAGCCCCACACGGCGCGGTGCATGGTGGAATGGTTGGAGAGGGAGGTCGTAATTCGTAACGCTGGCTCAGCTACAGGCGGCAGTGCAGCTGGTACAGTCCCGTAGCTGCGCAGTGCCGGCTCACGCAGTCGTAGTCTCAGTGCAGATATTCTGTCCCAGTCCAGCACCAATGTTCGAGCTCGGATGGGGCACACGACACGTTCCCGATGTTCCAGAAAGTTGACTGTTGGAGATATCTGCTCTCAAACTCACAAGTGACTTCCCGCCGCTTACAAGCAGAACAAGCTCTTCGGTGGCGTTCAGACTTGAGTCTACCGACCCTGCAGACTATTTCAACAGCTGATCCGTCGTGACCTTCAACAGGTCCATCATCCCAGACCAATGCTCCGTATCAAGAGATGAAAATCAGCCCAGGTTGGCTGATAAGGCGACCACTGGAAGGGATGCACCATCGATGCACGCACAAAAGCGTTACACCGACGACAGGAGACGCGTCAGCGCGCACCGTGAGCTAAGGCACCGCCAGGCAGGTGGCTTTCCGTCAGAAAACTGACAACAAAATAAGTGACTATCAGCAACTAGCCAAGACTTCGATATCCGAGAAGAGATTGTGCCATTCCAGGATGGTATGTGGATGGACAGAGTCCGAGAGCTCTTATCGGTCACCCGAAGCGTAACAGAAAGAAAAACAAAACTACGCCGTTGTTAAATAACGAATTACGGCAAGAATACCGGAAACGGTCCATACAAATACTGGGAGTCAATGGACAGGCAGAGGATCTATTAGTGCGTGATCATCCAGTGGATCGTTCCGACATAATGTATTTGTATTTGTATTTATACTGGAAACTCTCCACAGGTGGCTATTACGAGCCCAGTTAACATGGCGATGCATTGACAGCACAACATACATTTGCAAACACACGTACATGTAATGAAAGTAACAGAGTTGAAAACAAGCAGATAAGGAGGGTATTTGTCACTGTTCCAGCCTGGTCATGAGCTGGCGACGTGACGTGGAAAGTGTAGTCACACGCGAAAGTTTATTCCATGACACGGCGGCTCGGTAAGGAAAAAGTCGCCGCGCGGTCGTTAGCTGGAGGCGAGGGGGCGCGAGTACCGCAGCGCCGGCGGCGGTGGCTCGCGTTCGACGCGAACACACTGTTTGGCGAGGGCGCGCCATGGCTTTGAGCGGCTGGGGGGCTGCGGGGTCATGTAGAGCGCGGTAGATATTTATCGCGTCGCGACGCATCACTAGCGTGTCGATATCGGGCCACCCAAGCGTCGCGAGGGCGGGGATATATGGTCGCCTCGGCGTAAACCAGATACCAGTCGGGCGGCAAAATTTATGACCTACTGCAGTCGGTTCAGGCGGGTGCGTGTCGCCCCACCCCATACTGACAAGCAATACTGAAGGTGAGGGAGGACGTGGGTCTGTACAAGAATTTTGAGGATGTCATTTGAGAGGTGAGATCGGATTTTGAAAAGAGATATGATTATTGCGTTGGTACGCCGGGCGACTGAGGATATGTGGCGCTCCCAGGTGAGGGTCTGATCGAATTCAACGCCCAGGATTTTTAGATGTTTTTGTGGCCGGATTTCTTCGTTATTTATCCGAATCGTGAAGGATGATGCTTTTTCAACTGCATTTACTGTGCCAATGATAATGAAAGAAGTTTTGCTTGCGTTCATTTTCAGACTGTTTCTACTAAACCATTGCTGAAGACATTCAACGTTATTTTCGGCTCGATACCTCAGCGCTTGGAGTTCGTCAGGATTGTTAGGTGCTGAGTCTAGGATTTGGGTATCATCTGCGTAGGATACTAGTCTACCATGGGGCAGGAAAGATGGTAGGTCGTTGATAAGGATGAGGAAGAGGATGGGACCGATTATAGAGCCTTGGGGGACTCCACATAAGGGTTAATCATTGTCAAAAAAGGCAGCCAAAGCCCGCGGTAAAACTAAACTAAGAAACGAAATAATACGGAATAATTTGAAAATAAAATGGAGATACGTATGAATGGAAATAGGACGAATCTGCTATCGACTAAGAGCAAAGCAAAAGACAAGACCGGCATCCGATATCATATGAAGTGCGCTAAGCAGCATACCATTCGGCAGTAGACTGACGGCGGAGCCCACGTCCTATGGCGCTGCCTGTATGTGCCAGTGTATAAAGGATGCTACAAGTCAGCTCATAAACAAACACAAGCAAGAACATTGAGAACTGGCGGACGTGAATTTGAAATAAACACACCACAGACCCACCACAAACCAGTTTCTGGTAACAAAACAAAAAACAACGAACTTTGTGCATGAATTCACGGCATAATATCCCTCCGTCCCCCCTCCCCCTCGCCTCCCCCCCTCACCCCCACCTCCCCCTCCCCCTCAGACAACTCACCGTCCGTGGGTTGACTGCGCTGCGCCACCAGGCTCTCCATTTTACACTTGACGAACTCCATGACGTCATCATCCGAGTCAAACGCTGCCACAATCGGCAGCAGGTGCGACTCCAGCCAGGCCCAGTCGGAGAATATCTCCGATGACGTCACTGAGATGGCCACCACTGCCGGAACGAGCGGGGGAGGCGGGGTCAGGGCAAGGGAAGGAAAGGTGACGATTAGTGCAGGTCATTGAGGGGTGGGAAGGCAATATTAGATCACAAGGGGTCACAAATCGTCACAACATGTCATGGTCAGGTCACTGAGGTACGCGCGGACTGCGTTCGGGACAGTTGGCAGTGAGTGACGGGGAAGGTCGAACAATGTACGATTTTACTATAAACACAGTAAAGAGAGACGCTCTCAAGTACTGAAATTGACGTATTCCGGGCACTAAAACATTCCAATGCGCTGCAGGCATTGGGCATGGTTGTGAGGCAGGCCGAGCAGACCATACTCACACCATACAAAACCGTAGTAGGTACATCAGCTGCAGTCATTCACCGTGCATATTACGGACCGACCATGCGACTCAGTGCACATAGGTTTCCGCCGGCGCTGTGAGACTCCCAGGGGGGGGGGGGGGGGGTCTGCGCAGTGCGCGTACACGAGCCGTGACGTCACCGCCAGACACGCGTCAGCTGAGCCTGAGTCAGCCGTCACCGCTGCAGAAACGTCGACACGGTGCAGTCGTGTGTGCAGATGAGGCGGCACGAATCGACGAAATAATCCCCAGAGACCACAGACTATGCATAGGCGACATCGCTAATGCAAACAACCTGAGACCATTAGCATATAGATTACCGGTCGTGCCAAACAATGCAATACAAACTGCACTTTATTATGCATGGGACTCCCAAAGTGGGTCTTTCAAATTGCTTCCCAATTTTTTCTTGTTTTTAGTTTTTTTAACTTTGGAACAGCAGTAGAGCTGCAGCCTGTACGTCCTTCCAGCCGGCCCTCCCGGATTTTACACCAGTCCGCCGAACCCCGCCCCCTCCCATTACCAGTGTGGGACACGGTTCGGCAGTAAGGCACGTGCCTAACAGAGGCCTGGCGATCTCGAGTGGACCAGCCGTGCATGGGACGGCTTGATTCGCGGACTGCAGCGGCACGCCGCGCAGTCCGGCGTCTCTGTAACGTTGGCTGTGTTACTACTTAGCAGGTGCCAGCGATGTCATGAGCCAGGATGAGAGCCATCTGTATATATAGTTACAGTATCCCAGTTCTGTCTGGTGTGAGATCCGCCCACCGCCCATGTATGTGCTCACGGTAGCTGATTTCCGAACTCGGCGTCAGCTGTGGGGCGGGCTGAGTGCCGTCAATGTACGAGGGGGTATCGAAAAGTTCTGATCATCACCATGAATTAGATGCGATAGAAATTTGATTTTTTTACATGATGTTCGTTACTCGTTCACAAGTCACCACACACGACCGCAAACTTATTGCATCGTTTTTTGAGCTGCCTCAGGCGGTCATTGTAGGACCTTCGCACTGTCCCGTAAATCACTGCTCCACCTCATCGATGACGTCATTTCTGTCCTTAAATCACCGGCCATACTGTGGATTCTTCATCTCCCGTAACAATCAAGAGTCAGTTAATACCCGGTCAGGTGATTTTGCTAGATGCGGTAGGATTTAATGTCCATATCATATAGTTTCTTCAATCGCAGCTCAGGACGAATGGGCGGGGGTGCTGTCGGTGAGGATAAAACACCTTTCTTGGGCTTTTTTTGCGGCGATTCTGCTCGAGGCCATATCGCAACTTCTTCAAAAGTGTGCAGTAGTGCTTGCTAATCATTATCCGACCATCATCAAGACAGTCGGTAATGACTATCCTACGCCAGATCCAGAACACTGATAGCATTGACCTTCCATATCGGCTTCTGCATCTTCGCCTTTAAGAAGGACAGATGTGCCGTGCTTCAACTTCTTTGATCATCTTTTTGTCTCTGGATCATACACATAGACCCAGCATTCGTCACAAGTCATCAAACGATCGAAGATGTCTTCAATTTCCTAAAAAAAGTCTAGTTTTCGTTTCGAAAGGCCAAGACGCATTTTTCTCTTGAACAAAGAAGACACACGAACTTCTAAGCGGGCTGATTCCTTTATCGTCTGTAGTTCTACGCTGATAATATTTTCAGGCACTGCCAGCATCATGACCTTTCTGTTGCACAATCATCTGAAAGGTAACACAACGATCTGTAAGGATGAGGTCCTCCACTTTCTTCACAGTCATCACCTTGTCAGTTACTGGTAGTCACTCACTTCTTGACTCCCCTGCAAGAGCCATGCAACCAAGTTGAAAATTATTTCTTCATTTTCGGTAAGTGCATGAGATGGGCTTTCCTAGCCATAAACTAATTTCACGTTCTTGATGTATTTTCTCAGTGTGATACCGTTTCAAATGCATCAGTTGGATGACGGTTCGGTCCTCAATAGGCCCAATACTCATCTTTTTTACTTCTTAGTCTCTCCTACATAAGATAAAACCACTTTTCAGGATTTTCTTTGCGGGAACATTGTTCTTGAGAACCAAATAAAATTCCAACCAAAAATCATCAAAATCGGTCTATATCTTCTATGTGATGATCAGAACTTTTCGATACCCCCTCGTACTCACGGTAGCTGATCTCGGAGCTCGGCGTCTGATGCAGGATCCTGTACGGCGGCGGCCGGGTGTCAAACACTGAATCCAGCGTGCCCACGAGCAGTGACGAGAGGCCGCGCGTGCCGTGGCCCTTCCTCTTCTGCAGTACAAAGTACTGGTTGGAGCGCTCCACCACCCTGCGCACAGAGAGGAGGTTTATCAGTCAGAGGCTCTACTGAGTCAAAATTACTATAGAGGTCTAACAAATCAGTGTTTGAGGACCCAACTTCCCCAAGTTTTCCAGAAAAAGAAATCAGAAAATGGTGACTGGCTGATAGAGGCCATTATTATGCATCTATCTGATAGGTATAATGTGAAAACCCCTTGACCAAGTCACCAAAGGGCAGCCTGACTCTCAACACTGCAGTGTATAAAATATATCTTCTTGCATTACTTACCATAGGGCATTGGCAATCAGCACTTCTTGTGGCTTTACCCACATCTTGTTTTAGTGCATACCTGGAAAAGGGTAAAAATACACATCAGCTTCTGTAAATTAGGAGCTGGGCCATAGGTTACAGTTGAGCATATGCAATGTGTAAGACAAAACAAAAACCAAGGCAAAATAATGCAATGAGGGAAATACAAAAATAGGAGTGATGGAGATGCATCAACCTGCCCTACAAAAAAGTTAAGACAGAGCTCTACACAACAAAACAACAATGGTACATGGTAACATGGAGAACAGAAAACATTATGCTACCCCTCCCATCACACACATATCCTGCTGAACAAAAGCTTGCCTGAAAGGCCACAATGAAAGCACAGCCCCATGAAGTCAGCAGCACTACTAGCAGTGCTAAAACCAAAACACAAAATACCTAATCAAAGCACATTGACCTTGTAGAACATCAATTTCAGTGGCAGCATTAATGAGTGTAACATCAAGTTACCCTAACAGTATTTCTGGAACCATATGCACATAGGTCATGACTATGAGTGACAAAAGGCATGACAAAAGGAAGATATATACCTACAGATATAGAGCAATGGAGGAAGATGAAAAGAAGAGATACTAGAAGATAAATAGGGAAAGAGGAGAAAAAGGTGAGGATAAGAGCAAATCAAAGATGTGGGAACTAGGAATAAGAGTGAATTGTGAGAAAAATAGACAGTTGAAGCATGAGTGGGCAAAATAGAGGAGATGGAAGCAAGGTTGCACAAAAAGTTTTAAAATGCCCTCGCACTTCAAAATTCAAATATGGTGCAATTATGACATTTAGAGGATGGTGACAGGTGCTTTTATTAGTCAAAGATTACCTATAGTTCGTTTTTTTTCAAAAGGACGCTGGCTCAAAGTTCAATATCGAAGCTCTCACGTGAGTTTTGGCAGCTTCAGTGTCTGGCCAAGAATTTCTTACCGAAAAAATAATCGATTTCAAATTTTGCACGGTAAGTAGCTGGAAATTGTTTCTTAAAAATGAACATACTATGATGACGTCACTGGTGGCAGCAGGCACCCAAATGCCCGTGCAGTGAGACAAGTGTCAACGAATTTGGGTGAAACTTAGTTTTTCACTGTTGCCGAGCTTATAATCGAGTGAGCGGTTCCGTCCATGATAGTCATAAGTTACATTGAAATACATGTTCGACAGCATGACGTCACCGCTGTTCTCATTTCTGCTTCCAAAACGCCCATATGGAAATTATCGGGAAGAAATCACATGTTAAAATTAGTCGACGTTCGATTTTCTCAGGTTCAGTTTTTGCTCGTTTTGCTCGCTAAAACACGTGCTTGTTCGAAAAACATACTTGGGGCCAGCGTCCTTTTGAAAAAAAAAACGAACTATAACAAGGCTAACAAGGCAACCACCAACACAAAATTTGACTATTTAGTAGGTTTAGAGCTCAAAGAAAAAAATATAAAGGTGATAGCTCATTCAATAATTCTGAATATTAAATCCAGAACTGTAAACAAACAAAGCTTTAGTGCACTACATTTCAGATTTCAAAGCAAAAAAAAACTAAAAAATCCAGAGAAGTTGGCCTGGAAGAACAAACAACGATCTACAAAATAAAAACCTAAGTATCCCACAGACCACAGTACAACAACCAACAAGCTTGACTGTACAAGACTGACCACTGAGGCACACATGACACAGCAGCAACTTTTTTATTGTGATCTGGCCAGTTTGCAAAGCATATGGCAGCAGGCAGACTCAATGAAATCTTGTCAGTGAGGAGGCAGCCAGCTGGTTCAAAATGATGTGCAGATTTTGTGTGAAGTCAACATGACAATATGATGAACTGCTAGGCAGGTGATCGGCATATCGGTACCTATCAAAGATCACAGGCAAGGGAGACTAAGTGGGCATGGCCACTTGTTAATTGGCAGGGAATAATCAACATTTATCGAAGTTTTTCTCACCAAAAGTGCAAATCAGTCGGGGAAACTATGGTAAAATCTGCTATTTTTAGCAGTCTGCTATTTTTAGCAGAAATCTGCTAAAAATGGGTACGCATGTGACGTCATCGTACCCAAATATAGCAGATTTGGGTACGGCCCCCGACAAAAGCAGATCTGCACCCTAATTGAAGCAAATGCGCATCAAATGCCTGGCAGATTCATGATTAGAATAGTGCTGAGAATGTCCTCTGATATTTTTGTTCAGATCCGACTATTTTTAAATAATGAATTTGAAAAAAGTCGGATCTGAACAAAAATAGCAGAGAACACTCTCAGCACTATTCTCATCATGAATCTGCCAGGCATTTGATGCGCATTTGCTTCAATTAGGGTGCAGATCTGCTTTTGTATGGGGCCGTACCCAAATCTGCTATATTTGGGTACGATGACGTCACATGCGTACCCATTTTTAGCAGATTTCTGCTAAAAATAGCAGACTGCTAAAAATAGCAGATTTTACCATAGTTTCCCCGACTGAAATACCTACTCAGTCTTTTGTGCCAAAGATCATAGGTCTTATTTAGTGCTGTCAGTACAGTGCAGGTCTTGTTTGTGACAGCAGGCAGATTTGCGGTCCACTAAATGAAGACCATAGCTCATTAGTCATTTCTCATCCTAGCTGGTGCTGCTCATTAACTCCATTGGCTCCTGGGCCCTGTTTCAGCGGTGATAGCAGCACGCTGCTATCACACGTGTCAAATTGGGTTTCCATGGAAACATCAATAAAACCATGGCGTCGTCAAACTGTGTGATGTCATCAAATATTGCTGCTAACATCTTCACGGCCGTACGAACAAATCAAACGCATTCAACGACACAGCAACTCTGTTCCAAACGTAGGTATGAAAAAGCTCACGGATTACACGAAACGTCATTACTGTGGCGTCACCACATTACGTCAGCTCGCGCAATTTGATAGTAGCGTGCTGCTATCACCGGTGAAACAGGGCCCTGAATTAGTATGATGATCTGGGTTGACTATCAACACACCCTAAATTGTACTAAAAACAACAACAATCTAGGCCATTTTTCACGGCACAACACTTCAGCGCGCTATGTGCAATATGCATCACTTATCACTTGTGACGGTTTAGGCTCCCCACAGAAGCATGAACAAACTCAGACTCTCCAGCATTGAGAGTGTCTGCCTTTGTTGATTTTTTTAACCCAATACCGTAGCATAGTGTAGCGCACTGGGTCACCAGCTGAAGCCCTGGATTGGGATAGTGGATCATTCATCGTGGCACGCATCAACAACGCACTCAGATCAAGAAAACCAGTTGCTGAGCTTGCACTCCTGCAGACTTTTAGTCGTATTCCCTGTGAGCTAAATCAGCTCTTCCTTGCAAAATAAATGCACAGCTCTCGTCTCACCCAAAGCCATCTCAATCTATAGACCAGGCCCATGTCGTCCCCTATCTCCCTGTGTGTCCAAGTGCACAGATGACGTCACACGAAGGGGCGGAGTCGGGGGCGGAGCCTGGCGCAACGGCCGCCATATTTGAATTTGTTTTATTAGAATGAATTCTATATTTTGGGTTTCAGTCAATTGTTATCGATAGTTTTATGAACGGTTAGCTGAAATATAAGTGATGTATCAAGAAAAAACACATATTTTGCTTGCAATTTCGATTTAAGTACGACCCGCGCCCAGTTTCGAACGCACGATCTTTGGATTACGGCGCAAGCATCCTAACCACTACACTACCGCGGCGGCGTGACGGCCGGCGGAAGGGAGGCTGCGGAGGCATGGGGGCTTTTTTACGCATTTTTGGAAAAACTAATGGGTTTAGTGAAAAATGCTTCTTAGATAATTCGAAGAAAAATGTCTTAGCTTTCCGATGACGCACTTTGTTTTGTGCTAGCTTTAGCAGAGTTTGTTCTACAGCGCATCAAAAATCGCCCATTTGCATAGGACTTAAACGGGACTTCAAGACTTGCCCCCAGATGACGTCACGAGTTGACGTCACGATCAGGTAGAATCGCCGGACGACCCTACCTGGTATATAGGGCCTTGCTATAGACAGGTCTCACCTATGAATTAAAATTGAACGGAAATGAGCCTTTGCCCCCCACCGCAGTCTCAAATCTACAGAAACGTATCCAAGGCCATATAACGTATCGTTCAAGGAGTAGTGATTACGTAGATAATTGAGTTTTGTGACGTCACCAAAGTAACAGCGAAAGCTCAAAGCTAATGAACTTAAATGACGCGAATTTCAATAATTTTACTTCTAAATGATCTTTCTGATGATATTTTTTGTAACAAGATGGCAATACTTGCAAAAAAATAGTAAATGAGGTGGAGTTCATTTTCTTATTATAAGACTGTTGACGTAATTACTGTTAACGCCAGACCCCTTGAGACCCTAATTTTTCGCGATTACTTTTAAATGCGTGAAGGAATTTCAACCAAGCTCAGGACATGGCCGTTTCAAGACAGGCCGAAACTTTTACAATTTAGATATTTTATCGCCATTTCAATATTTCAGGCACTTGTCATTGACTCGTAATGTTAACTGTTTTTCCATCCTGGATAGAGGCTTTCCACGTCATATGACATTAGGCTCCGCCCACGACTGCGGCATTGACCCGTGCCCATCAGCGACCTCTGTACAAGCGACACCCCTGCCATCTGTGAAGGACTATGAATTTCGCTGACGCTTCACGTGCTATGAGTCAATTGCAGCAGACGGTCAAGTAAATGTTAGGCTCTTGTTGACTCTTGTATATAGGACCAAGAGGACCATCACTCCTCAACCTACTACTCAGTCGTGCTTCGAACAAACGTTAACGATTCCTAACAAATACGATTTTCGATGTAGGGTATCTGTTTGAAATACGAGCGAGCCGTATGATGTGAAGCTCAGGCAATTAACTTATTATTGCGTTGTTCGATGGTTGCATAGCGATGTACAAATCGGCAGCTACTTGGTGACATCCGACATCCCATTATCGCATTATCTGCAACGCCATAGGCTTTAAATACAGGTGAATATTTCCTAACCTTATGTCAGTTATATGCCATCTGCCCGTCATATGCAGCTTATAT